AGCCATTTGGATCTGTGTTTCCCCAAGTTCTGCCCACACACACCCCAAGCTGGATAGCTACCAAGAAAGCTACCAGGCATGGAGGCACGCACCGGGGCAACCGGCTCTTAAGGGCTTCAGCTACTCACACGCACTCCCCCCACTCTGCAGCTCAGGCATGCAGAGTGTAGTGTATGCAACCTGGCAGAGGCCGTTGGGCTTGAGCCACCGCACCAACTGTTAGGCGCCTCGCCAAACTTCAAAAGCCAAACTTCTCGCTGATGAACTGCATCGGCCCCCCGCTTTCTGAGACGCCTCGCGTCCCCCGCTTTTTGAGGCAAAGACTCGCCCTCCAACTTCTTTGTCGAACAGGCCCTGCACACCGCAGATCTCCCAGCTTCACCACACCTGCAAGAAGCATTCCCAGCGGGCATCAAAGCCGCGCAATGGCCACATTTGGGCTCATAACCTGCGTTTCCCCAAGTTCTGCCCACACACACCCCAAGCTGGATAGCTACCAAGAAAGCTACCAGGCATGGAGGCACGCACCGGGGCAACCGGCTCTTAAGGGCTTCAGCTACTCACACGCAGGATCAAAGGATGGACGGTGGGGCCATGGAAGCGTTCTTTTTTCCAAGCGGAAGTCCACAACTTGGGAATTTCTTGGGAATACCTCGTAAGCACATAGCAGAACATGGAACTTTGAAGAAATGCCATTTCCAGTAGGAAACGCAGTTCTATCAAGCATTGCAAGCATTCCAAGTATTGCTTTTTGTTGCGTTGATGAAAGGCATCAATGTTCTTGATCAAAAAAAGACCTTTGCGGAAGGATATGTTTGAATAGTTATTCTTATCAAACCTCTACTCGAAAGGGTGGACATCAACCCCTGGGTGTTGGGAAGATGTAGTCAACAAACATGAGAATATAATCAACCAAATCCAAAAAATGAGATAGCAGCAGCCGCATACAATAATATCTGGGCAAATTATAACGCCCTTTAACCGCCCTCACGGTTCTCCCGAGCCCTGGAGTCATGGTTAATAAGGGGAATCATCCCCAGCCATGGCCTTATTTGTGTGGAGATTTAGGTCTACCGGTTTGATAAGGAACCGCTGAATGCTGGGGATATTGAGCCTCTCCGCTGCTAGGGACAGGCTCCTTTTGGAAGGAAAGATGCCTTATTTCAGGCTAGTGAATTATTATCATGTGCCCAGATACAATGATTCGTATTATGAACCAAATCATACCAACCATATCTCAGGTTTGCTCCAAAACATTTTAGATAAATGGTAGCTAGCTATACCCCCAAATCTATGGATTTTCCTACGTTTTTCTTGCCGGTTCGCAAGCCATATCTGTGTCGATCATCCCACGCCTAGGTCTTTCAGGACAGGGATGCTGCTGGTTAGTTGGTCAGCTGACCATGGAGAAGCGGTTGTTTCGGGGATATGAAGTGGGGAGAATACCAATGAAATAATCACAAGAATCCCTTTCACAATGTTTAACACATAGAAAAATCATATAAGGTGTATATATACCATGCTGCATACCATGTTTGACATGCTATATTTATGAGTCCAGCAACACAGAGAATATAGGGCTTGACAAAAGAAATAAAACAACCCCCCCCAAAAAAAAACATAGCAAACAAAAAAATCAAACTAGAAAACCAAAACCAAGGAAAAAACACAGGAAAAAAAAAACAAAAACAAAAAAAACTGAGGAAAATGCAGGTTTTGATGTTTTATTGTGTTATTGTTTTTTTGTTTTTTTGTTATTTTTTTTGGTTTTTGTTCTTGTTTTTTTTGTTTTTTTCTGGTGATTCTTCCTGTCGATTTGTTTTTTTGGTGTGTTTTTTTTTGCTAAAATCAACTTTCTCTGTTCTACACGGGGTCATAATGCTATATCTAGTTGGTTTATGTTGGTTCTACCAACTGAGCGATTTCATCGATTTTCAAAACGCCAGAAGTCGAATGACTTCACTGTTTTGAGTTGTTTTTTTCCCTTACATCATTTTTTCTGAACAAAAAAACAACATATCAATTGGAGATCAATTCATGGAAGTCCATTTAGGGTGAAATTGGAGATACTTTTTTTTGAGCCCTCGTTATGTTTGGTGAAATTCCATGCGTTTTTTTCATCGCTTCTTCGTGAACTGTGTGCCCAATCGGGCATGTCTGAGGATACATCTCCCAACATTTTTTGCCAGGATTTCGTAACCATCCACAGTATTTTCAGACAAAAGCTACAGGATGGTGCATCACAGTTATAAGATGTTATAAGTTGGTTCAGAAACCATTATAACCCCCATTAGCTATAGTTGTATCTCCCATGAACCATAGTTATTGGAGTTATAAACTGGCTTAGCTATCATAAATCAGCTATAAATCCCATTAACCCCCCCCATTTTGGCTGATTAAATCGCAATTTTCCTATGGTTCCCACGGGGTTCCCACCTTTGGTCGACTTGTGAAGGACTGGGAGCTGGTTCGCATCGCATGTCCCACTTTGTTGGCATTCTGTTGCTTGGCCCCAAAAAGGCGTGGCTTTTTGGGTGTTTTGCTGAAAACATCCCCAACCAGCTGGATGAGTAGGAAATCATCCTTGAGTTTTTTCGGTAGGAAAATAGCCAGCCAACCAGCAAAAGATGACATGTTTTTGTGGACTACCAAAGGTTGACCATGAAAAATGATGACTTAATGGAGTGTCAATGGGATAACACTGGGGAAGTGGGATGTATAATCATAGATAACCAACCATATCCATGTTTAGGTGTCTCTGAGAATGGGCGATTAAGTCACCAAATCTATGGCTATTTTGATGTAATCACCATTAAACCAGGAACTTTGGGGGTGTGCGCCCTCAATTTTCAGACGCACAATGCTTGGCATTTGGAATATCGGAGGGCCCAAAAAGAAAATAGGTTGAAGCATGACCCATGGAACAGATGTAGATAGTTATTGATGATTATTAATTGTTATTGATGATTATTGATGATGTTAATCATTGTTAATGTGGTTTTCATAGTGGCCAATCATGTTAATGGGATGGTTTGTTTGCTACTCTTAGTAAATTACCATATGGCTGGGGTAGTTTTTACATATGGGGAAAGACTTCAGCATCATACAGCATCATCCAGCTATGACTTCGGATACCAATTGGCTGTGGAGGTGAAGCTATGCAGGGCCATTCCAGTCAAATCCAGGGCCATTCAGATCGAATCTTCAGTACGAGTTGCCTATCCCATCGCTCTGAATCGAGACTTCGGATGACTTCATTCCCGCGAGTTTCAAATTGGTTTCTCTCTCTTTCATTTTTCTTTGGCCCACCACAAGAACACGCAATAGCCAAATAGAACGATTTTTTGGTATGATGCATGGGTTCCGGGTCATTTGTCTAGTAGGCTAGGATAGTGTGGTCAGCCTAGTCATCATGTTTTGTTGAAATACTGCAGATGTTTAAACACGTTATGTGTTTTGTGTTTACCACCAAACAGGTACCAAAAAATATCCTGAACCATCCGCATTTGCAATCCATGAAGCATGGGGAGTTACCATTTGGTTATCTAAAAAATGGAAAATCCTATATTTATAGAAGCTTTATGATGATGTACCTATCAACGATGGTGATTTTCCATGGCTATGTGACATCACCAAAGGGTATTTGATGACTTGTCCAACAAAAGAATGAGGATCTAGAATCTAGCCCAAACAAGTCCAGGGGATAGATGGGGATAGATTATCAACAGTTTTTGTTTTTTTAAAGAGAATCATCTAGCCATATCTAGCCTTAGTCAGGGGATTGTTCCATTGTTCCTTAAGCCACATCGAAAGTTGGTATCTAAGGTTTTGTGGCCGTGCTGGGCTTCATTTTGCAGCATTGCTTCCAAAGGCGCAGCACTGAACAACAACGGCCACAACAACTCAATTGAGTCGTGCAGTTTTGCCATAGTAATATGGCTGGTTGGTGGTTTGGAACATGTTTTTCCATAATAGATAGGATAATCCTTCCCATTGACTTTCATATTTTTCAAGATTGTTAAAACCACCAACCAGATGGGAATACAACGATTGTTACAACATGATTTGGATACATTTACTGTAGATCAACAAGATCAACCGGTTGATTGGTAGAGATGAAGCCAGTAAAAATGGCTGCTTGGATCAAATTTAAGGTTTGGCATGGATAGAGACAGGGGATAGAGACAGGTGATTGGCATGGATTGGCGTCTCATTGTTTGCCGCTGAGAATCTGGATCAGAATACTTCCTGCAAGTGTCGTTGATTGGGATGCTCCTCATATGTAAAGGCACATGCACATGCAGGTTGAAAATTGACATGGAATATCAGGGTTTCGATTTTTGGGGTACAAGACCTTGAAAATAACAGGGTGTACTTCTCATTGATCAGGCCTTCAGACAAAAAAAGTGATCCGAGATTTGTTTTGGTCCAACACAAAGGTTTGAGTGGCAAATTGCAGAATTTGTTTCTCTATCCTAAAGAAACAAGTTTGTTTGAGAATAGGGTACACACAAACAAAAAAAAACATGTTTCGTGATCACTTTGATCTTGAAACGACCATACATTGGGGTATCCCGACCCGTGGATTTCCCGTGGCTCAAGCTGCTGTATTGCAAAGACAGGGCAGCTGGCTCTTCGGCCGTTTGCCGATCAACGCAGATGGAACACGTCAGCTATATGATGCATAGATTCATAGATCTTCGATTCTGATCTGATATTGTTTCAGGAATCAAGTTGAATAAAGTGTGGCTCTCATTCCTAACTCCCACATCCAGGCGTCTAGTCATTTGCCAATTGGAACTTAATGAGTTGTACGCATAGTCTGTAAAAAGCTTGACATGAATACGAATCACCATAGATAATATAATAATATAATAATCCTAATATAATTAAGATAATTACTGTAAATTAAACCTGATATAAACATTCTGTATTTATATAGCTACAGATAGTGATCTCCAGGCATCTCCAGATATTTTGTTTATCGGTGCTTTCCACTTTTCGCCCTCCTCGTCGCTACGGCCCTCCGGGACTCCACACCATGGGGATGACCACGGAAGAAGTGGTGCGTCGCGCCTTTCTCAACGCCGACGTGGATCAGTCCGGGACACTGGTGGCCCGGTTTTTTGCAAACGTCAAGGCTGGTGATCCCTCCAATAAAAGTGGTGGACTACATGGACCAAAATGTGGTTTAAATGTTGAAAGATCATTTTGGGGGCTCGATGATCTTGATTTCGATCTTTTGAGGATTACATGATGACATCAAAAGTTATTATTTTGCAGGATTTTAGGACGATTTGTTGTTCACTTGTTAATTCATGTTAACTCCCTGTTGGTGAATAATAGTTACTTCATAAAGGTATTAGCCAAGCAATGATAAATAGTGGGTTATATCAACAATGGTTTAGCATATTTATATATATATATACATGATATGGGTTTGTTAATTGGACATGCTTAGATCTTAGGCAATTGGGCTTATAGCCGGCATATCTCCTTCACAGTTTTTAGTCATGGGATGATTTTGGGTACATCAGTTGGGATGACTGGTTGGTGCTGACTGGAACCATGGCATTTTATAAATGTCCAGAAACAGCTGGGAATGTCATCATCCCAACTGTTACTAAAACTCCATCATTTTTCAGAGGGGTAGGTGTACCAGCAACCAGATGAATTGATGATGACTTGGATGAATTGGATGAATCAATTGGGTAGATGCAAATGAAGATCGACGAATCGACGCTGGTGTTTTTGTTGGCCACCAATGGAGTTTTGAGCAACGCAGAGACGCAGAGTAGAGGCGCTTTTCTTCGGGATGTCAAAATGAGATAGTTCTAGTGGAAACTAGTCTTCCAACCACCATCTGGCAGGGTCTATGTTAATTTACTGGGATGGATGATCGGGGATTAGCCGGTGATTTCAATCCCAAATTGGCTGATGACTAGCATTGCTTGAGGTGGCAACTAGCATGAAACAGCAACCAGTTCTTCTCGGTTGATTGATGTCCTTTTTTGCGGAGAATCCTCCCAAGCATTAACTAAGCCTTTCCCCCCTAGCATGAATTTACCCCCAGGAACCATTAGTTTGCTGGGGAATTTACACATACTTAGGACCATTCATAGGATTATTCCTTGTTTATTGATGTTTGTTCTGATTTTCTTGGGCATTTTTCAAAATCATTGCTATGCCGTGATTTTTTCTTGCTGACATCAGAGCTTAAAGTTACGCAGTAAACCATAAACCATCCCAATTTCACCATAAATGGGTGGTATAAACCATTCTCAATGGCTGGTTTCTGGTATTGTTTTACCCACATTATCTCCCAAACGCCAAGGATATTCAAGAGTTTGGTCGGCTATTGCAGCTGCTGAACCCCAGCTCCTTGGCCGATGATGACCTGGGTGATGACCACGTGTCGCTTACCCTCTGGTGAACTAACATAGCAATGGAAAATGGCCATTGATAGTGGATTTTCCCATTAAAAATGGTGATTTTCCATTGCTATGTTAGTTTACCAGAGGGTAATGTTTTTTTAGGTGTTTAAAAGGAATCAACAAAGCACCCACCAAGCGTTTGCTGAAGAGCAAAAGTTCAGCCAGGACAAAGGACAAAGTCCAGCAAAATGAGGACATCACATGTTTTGGAGTCCAATTTTTGACCCACATCTGGGTGTAACATCTCACCTTGGCCTAAGATTGTTGGATATTGTTGGCTGTTTTGCCCAAGGATTCCAAATGGCTACTAGGATGAGAACTAGAGATCTGTAAATTGTTAGTACATGAGGATAGGTGTTTGAGTACTCATCCGTTCATGTCTTGTGAATAATAACCATATTGTTTCTTAGGCATCCGTTGTTGCCGCTGATTTATCCCTGCGTTTGGTTTGCCGCGGTGAACTGAAACAACGACCTCGTGCAAATCGTCCCAAAGAAGGTTCCATTTAAGGCACAAAGAAATACAGAAATCCAGCGCTCTTCCAGACTTTTCGAAAAGGCTCCATTCACCATGTCAAAACCTATCTGGGTAAATTATGGTAAATTATAATATTTCACTAACCTGAATTTGTTGGGCCATTTGGGGATGATTCCCCTTACTAACCATTATTCCAGGGTTCGGGAGAACCGGGTTCGGTCGCAACATAATTTACCCAGACCTATGGATTTTTGTTTACCATCTTTGGGTAATTACTATCAAGTACCATGAATGGATAGTACCTGTTGATTCAAATTCATATCCATTCACCAGCACATCCAGGTGGGTCTCATCCATTCTCATCCTTTCGGTGTCCAGGTACTTGGAGCCAAGAGCGCTTGCAGCTCTTCTTTTTACGCGCGGACAAGGAACGTTCGGGCCGTGCATCGATCGTGGGTTACCCTGGGTTTATGGATGAAATGGATTGAAATGGTGAAATCTGGACAATTTGATAGTCTATAGTTAAAGAATGTTAAAGATGTCTTGTGGTGGACATATGCGGATCTACCTATATTATCCTATATTTAGATTAGATCAGTTTTTCTCTGAAGATGAGGCGAAGACATCATTCCACCCACTGGTGTAACACATTGCTTTCTCTGTCTTCACTGTCCATGAATCGTGGTATCAAGGTATCAGCCAAGCAGGTGCAATACCTGGGACCCACAGTTAACTACCGAACCCGGTTCTCCCGAACCCTGGAATATAATGGTTAGTGGGCGGGGAATCATCCCCAAATGCCCCAACAAGTCAGGTTAGTGACATATTATAATCTACCCATATATATATATATAATATACATACATATACAGCATAAACCTGAGCTATTGAAGTTATAAACAACCCTTGCTATCCTTTGTGGACCCCACTTTCTATAAGTTTTTTTTTTGTCAGGTGGCTGTTGATGTTTCCGATGATGTTTCCCCATGTGGGATGATGATACAAAATGACTGATATGTCACGGACTGCCCCCAGTCGTTGGTCAATGTGGGAAAGCAAAAAAAAAACATCCCCTAAATCACCGTAAGTGCCATTGCTGGTTGGTGGTTTGGAACATGAATTTTACTTGTCCATAGATTGGGAATAATCATCCCAACTGACTTTCATATTTTTCAGACGGGTTCAAACCACACCAGCATTGGCTTCCCCACATTACTCTCATCTAAACTTTCTTCTGGTGTCTTGAGGGATTGACATTTGGCCTTCTTGATAAAGGATATCTACCCCCAGCCGGATCCGGGTAGACCTTGCGCCGCTTTTTGGATGGCGTTGTTTGGATGTTTGTGTCCTGGAAATTTTCCGGTCAAATCGGAGAAGAGACGCTGAACTTCCTCATTCTCCAAACTTACAACATGTGGGTGCGTCTGAAAATGGGGTTTGCAAGCATATACCCTCTGGTTATTTAACATAGCCATGGAAAATCACCATTTTTAATAGGTAAACCATCTATAAATGGGCATAAATGGGCCATTTTCCATGGCTATGTTAAATAACCAGATGGTAATGGCGAAAATCATTGAACATCTGGGAACATGATGATGTCATCATGGTTGTTTAGAATCCCCTATATGGAGGTTTCCGAAAATAGGGGTACCCACAGTTCTCATCCATATATAGATATGATTTTCCATTATAAAGCATCCAGCTATTGCGGTATCCCCATTGTAGGCAACAGAACCCTTCTACATCATTTTCATACATCAATCAAATTTGGTACATAATATTTCATCAATGTCTAATCTTGAAAAAACACAAGTTCTCATGCACCACAAATAGTAGATTACCCATATGTATCATATGATTTTTGGCCGCGGTTCAGCCAGGATGGTTCCGGACGAGTGGACCTACAAGAAACCTTGGACTGGCTGCTGTATGCGCCTCGGTGCATGGTCAATGGACATGGTTATAGCTTATTATTATTATCATTATTTGATAGCCTTATTTGATAGCCGTTAATAATGGTCAATGAAACTGGTTTTTATTATATATATAAGGAGGTTTCCTGAAATAAAGTTATCCCAAAATCATCCAAAATTGGTTGAGATCAAAGGGAAATCCAATGGTTTGGGGTACCCATCATATGATAACCATTATGTCATGGATATTGACATGTTTTTTTCGGACCTTTTTGATGGACAAATGTTAATAACCATCATGTCGTTGCGCGTTGCAGATTCAATGGATCTGGATGAATAAAAGTAAGGACACCACGCGACACTGGAATGATGGCATCATCTTTTGTCCATGATTTTAGGGGACAGAATATAGAAGAGGCTATCATAGGCTATCCAATTTTTACCAGTTTTTCATATTTTTTCAAATATGACCTACATGAAATATTTTACAGCAAAACTGGTGTTTTTTTTGCTGATTGAAATACGAAATCCCCCTTGGTCTCGTCACTGGAAGAAGTCATCAACACTGGATCGAATCATAATCCTATCAAATATGCAGAACATTTGTTGACTGTGTTGATTATGATTAGGAATTCGGAAGGAATCCGGAAGGAATCATGGTGGAATCATGGTGGAATCATGTTGATTATGTTGGTTATTACAACATAATATATCATGATTATTCCACCATGAATGATTCCACCATCCGAATAATATAATCATGGTGGACTCCGGCCTCCAGCCGAAAAAAACCGCCGCCAGGGCGCATCTCGAAGGAAGAAGGAGGAGACGATGCCGTTTTCCAAGACATGGGCGGCCAATTTTTGAAGACCCAGCGAAACACAAACAGGTCTGTCTAACAACAGGGTAACCCAGATTCCACTACATCCACTATGATAGGTACAATCTTGGTATAGTTGGTATAATTGTACCTATTATTGTCTGTCTAAATAGTTTCAAGTGTCACTCTTACCTACCTATGGCATTATAAGATGAATCTCTATGAGATGTCGCGTGAGACCGTGGGGTGGGGACCCCTATAATCCAATGGGAATTTCAGGATCCTAAATTGGAGGTACCTACCATATATAAGGCCAATTGTTCAGGCCTATGTAAGGGAACATCCCCATAAAATATGGCCTTATATGGTACAGCATCTCCATTTTCGGATCCTGAAATTCCCATAATCCGATTCCAAGAGTACTTGGCAGAATGATTCCAACTTTGATCATACCTCTTCATGATTGCAGAAACCATCCAGAAAGATAACTCGTACCGCCCGGTTGCCCATTTAGTCCAAATGCTCCAATATTGTCCATTGTTTATTGACACATTTCTTTTTTGATTGTAAAACCTTCACCCTTGTTGATCAAGTTCCAAGGCTTTTAGTCAGATTTTCGTCTTGTATTTGCGGGTGTTTTTTTGAGTAAGATATTAGTTTTCGTTGATTATCCTGTATGCAAATTAATTAGATCATATGTGGATCTCACATGATTTCATCAAATTTGGTTTAATCACAATGTTTATTCAGCAAGGATGTTCTGAATTGAATTGCTGAAGTGGGTTGGGTTCAGCCACACAATTTGTTTGTTTGGGCACAGAACAATTGATACCCACTTATCTCCCACCAAAAGTGAAGGAGGAGGGGCTTCAGATGGAATCATTGTCATGATCCACAATGGACTTTTATAGTTCTCAGTGAGGTCAAAACAACCAAACCAGTCAAACAGATCCTTTTCTTCTGATTGGATTCGTCCATATTACCCATTCAACCAGAACCGTATCCCATGATTACAATAGCCATTGAAATGCCCCACGCACACTGTTTTCCCTACAGCCCCCAAGCACATTCTGTTCTACCCTGCTTCTCGGGTGTATCAACTGCCGCGAAGCCTGGCGGGGAGTGACCGGTAACCAAAGCTGCCCAGGTATATACCTTGGTGCCGCGGAATCCTGAGCCCCAGGTCCAGCCAGGTCCAGCCCTTGCAACCTGGTTTGTGTCGCGTGCGCAGCCAAACCAGCGGACGGTACTATTACTACGATCCGTGCACTGGGGTTTCCAACTGGAATCCCTGGTGAGCGGCACCATGACATGCGATCTCCGTGAAACGCTTCGCTGCCTACGGTTGAGTCTTGAACCATTCCCTAGATGTGCCATCGCATTTTTGTTGGTTGAATATCCCCCCTTCCCCACGTTCGCGAACGTTGCTTCGCCTTCCAGAGTTTTCATTCTGTGTAACCTTGGTCCACCTTTTGTTGCTGATGTCTCTCTAAACTTTACTCGAAAAAACACTCGAAATACCCGCAGAAAAATGGGTACAAATGGAGGATCTAGACACAATTTGAAATCCCCGAACGAAATGGATGGCTTCTCCCTGGGAAAATCAGCTATAACTACTAATTTATTATAATCTTTCTTATGGTGTAAGAGATAATGTGTATGGCTCTACTTGGGAGGGATTTATAGATAATTTCCCATTAAAATGTTGTTTTACATCATCATTTAGTACTTAGTAGTTGATTTTTCCAGCTGGAAACCTTCATTTATAGAAGATGTTCCCATATGTTTCCACTTTTCCCCATGATTTTCCTAGATGTTTCCAGTTTTTGAGACATTCCCCGGGACGTGCCCATTTCCCCGGCCGTTCCACCAGGAGGTGGCCGCGTCACGTCCAGCGGCCCTGGACGACGCAGTGCTGGAGGACATCGCGGAGCGCAAGCGGCGGAGCTCCGAGGTGTCGCGCATCATGACGCTTTGACCAAAACGCTTTGACGGATGGGATCATAATATTTATGGAATAGTATAATATAATCCCATCCCAATATCATTATAGAATATAGAAATATATAGAATAGTATCATAATCATCCTAATCCCATCCCCATCCTGATATATAGAATAATATATTTGGAATATATAGAAATAGTATCATATATCCCATAGAAACTTATAGAAAATTTAATATCCTGAAATTTACAGAAAATCATAATAGAATGGTATCATGATAATAGAATATATATGGAATAGTATAATATAATCCCATCCCAATATCATTATAGAATACAGAAATATATAGAATAGTATCATAATCATCATAATCCCATCCCCATCCTGATATATAGAATAATATATTTGGAATATATAGAAATAGTATCATATATCCCATAGAAACTTATAGAAAATTTAATATCCTGAAATTTATAGAAAATCATAATAGAATAGTATCATGATAATAGAATATATATGGAATAGTATATAATCCCATCCCAGTATTATATAATACAGAAATATATAGAATAGTATCATAATCATCATAATCCCATCCCCATCCTGATATATAGAATAATATATTTGGAATATATAGAAATAGTATCATATATCCCATAGAAACTTATAGAAAATTTAATATCCTGAAATTTACAGAAAATCATAATAGAATAGTATCATGATAATAGAATATATATGGAATAGTAAATAATCCCATCCCAGTATCATTATAGAAGATCATAATATCCCATTTTTTGATTAATGATAATAATAGTATATTGGGATATTATGAAAACGGGATAATAATGATTAATGGTAGTAGATATTGGATATTATTATATTGGGATAATCATGATTAATGATAGAATATATAGAAATATATAGAATAGTATCATAATCCCATCCCCATCCTGATTTTTGTAGAATGATAATAATAATGGGATTGTGATACTATCCTATATATATATATATATTTATATATATATATAGTGAGATCATATATAATAATTATGATGAATTATCAGGATTTTTTAATGGATATTTTGAATATACTAGACAATCCCATATTTGAATAGGATTATTGGGATATTAGTCTTTACTATGATCAGGATGACCATTATCTTTACTATTAATGAATAGAATAGCAGATAGTGGGATAATCCCATAGTATCCCATATTATCCCACACGATGGGGTGGGATTTCACTGGTTTCCCCCCTCCTCTGGGGATGGGATTATGATAAATTATGTATCTTTACAAAAATCTATTTGATCGGATTCTACTTGTGAATCTAGTGCTACATCATAGATGGGGTGGGATTATGTATCTTTACAAAAATCTACTTGATGGGATATTATGGGATTATCTATATAGTGAATCTAGTATGTATCTTTACTATTCTATATATAGGTATATGTCTATATAAACCAATCCATTGAGCTGGGGATTAACTATAGTAATGGAAAATAATAGTTATAATCCCCATTAACAATACTGGTTGGTGGTTTGGAACATTAATTGTTCCATTCAGTTGGGAATAATCATCCCAACTGACTTTCATATTTTTCAGAGGGGTTGAAACCTCCAACCAGATTATGTATCTTTACATTTTACTACATATATATATTTATATATATATACATCTATGAGGTGGATCAGTACTCAGTAGATCCAAAAAAACTATGTTGATAACTATACAGGATGGGGCCCATAATTAGTTTGCCAAGTTGGTGTTTTTTTTGCTATTTCATAACAAGTTGGTGTTAATGATACGCGAAAATAACTGGTTTTTTCGATGGGGCTATGTTCACCAACAAACATTTCACGTTTGTTTTCCCCATCCTGTGGGGATGGGATGGGATGTATCTTTACAAATTTATCTACTTGATGGGATTATTCATAGTGAATTCCTGTGCGAAAAATCAAGTCCCTTTTTCATGAAATCTGATGGGATTCTATTTATTGTGATGGGATGGGAATCTGATGGGATGGGATGGAATGGATGGTATGTGGTTAATGGGAGATGACTATCCCTGGTTACAAGTGGAATGTTAGTGGGATAAATAGGGTAAAATGTAAAAGCTCTAATGGATATTGATTTAATGGTTCGCACGCAATATTGTGAATATTGTGGGACGCAGATGGATAAAATGAAATATCAATATCTATATTATAATGGGGATGGATTGGATGCGATGTGGTTGTAAGAGTTTATATAACATGATTGGCCTATCTTTAGCTACTAGGGACTGATGTCTTATGATGGGAATATTATGGGAAATGATGCGAATGGGATGGCGGATGCGAGGGATCATAAATGGGTTGATATTACCAAACATGGTGGGTTTCACATGGTTTTATAGGACATATCCACTAGAAATGGAGTTTTTATATGGTTTTATGGGAAAATCATGGGAATATATGGGGATACCCTCTGGTTATGTCAAAATAGCTATTGAAAATTGCTCATTTATAGTTGATTTACCCATTAAAAATTGTGATTTTCCATAGTTATGTGACAGTTTACCAGGGGGTACTGGGATAGGATGAAGGATGTAAATCTCCAATAAGAATTGTAATCATCCATTGATTGGTGGAATATATGAGTGTTTTCGTTTATATCTCACCGGTCTGCACACAAACAAACTCGATAATGCTAGGGCAGGGGCGAAAGTTTTTTGATGAGATCAAGTCGATAGTGCTCAGAGAGTACCATGATCAACGGAGAAAAAAATGCGAAAGAGTCAGTTTGAACTCAAACAAATCAATGGACAACCTGCCGAAAGACCTACCCGCAAGACCTTGTTGCGTGCCCGGCGGGCCGGTTTTTTGATGGCTAAAAATACAAAATATATAAATATGTTACTTGACAGTCACTCAATAATAAAGGGACAATAGTGGGGTAACAATGATAATAATCGATTTATCCTCCTGCATTCAAGCTTGGCAATGGAAACATGCCCTTATCAATGGAGGTTGCAATGGGAAACTCCTCTACGCAACGGGGGATTTTCCAGCAAAGCACCGTTTCAGCTCTTGGATCATATCAATCACCCCGAACCAGGGTTGCAGGCTGATTTCTCGCCATCAGTCACAACATGTTTCATCCATGGGAAGACCATGAAATGTTTGTACAGTTGTGTATATATGTATAATATGGAGGATAGCTAATTTATCTAATTTGTATCCCACCATATATCTATGTAATATACATACAAGGCATCTAAAGTCAGGCAAGTTGCAGTTATTGCTGTCTCTGTTTGGTCAACCAATCCCACAATAAACTTAGACTGTGCCATTTGGACCTGCTTCTCCGATGCATTCTGTGTTGGTTTCCCCTCAGGAAAGCCTTTGACGATGCAGACTTCAACAAAGATGGCTACTTAGACAAGGAGGACACCGAAAAAAAAGGTGACCTTCCCAGGGTCGTGACCGGAATGGGGAATGGTGAACTCCCAATGATGATCCCCAATGGCAACCATATTTTCCAGGGATTCAAAAACCAACCAGAAATGTGTGTGGTGATAGAGTCCGGCTTGCCGGAAAAGACATGGTTGAAGTGCCCACGTTGAACTCGGATGGAAGGTGCCCAGACATTGGTGAAAGCCCCATGATGCTTCTGCCATTTGTTAAGAGGAAGATGCCATATGGCGATGGATACAAATACATGTCGAGATATCCCCTGGTCAATTTTTCTCTCATTTCAGTTTCAGGGATATGTATAAATATATATATATATATTCCCCATGGTTCCTGAAAATGGAAACCATTCACCAGTTCAGGGGTTGATGGTTCAAGCCCAATGATCATTGGTGAAACTTCATTGATTGGATCTCCCATTCTGGTGCCTTAAAAGTTAGTCACAGAAACCCTCCCCGCCTATTGAACAAGACATGATTATCATGATTGGATGCACCAAGATTACACCAGCAAGAAGTTGAAAGCCCATTCCCAGCATCAATCGCAAATTTTGATCAACCGTTCTATCCTTCGATTTCTCCATTTTTTCCATGTTGGTTTGTCTGAAAATAGTGGTCCCCCTACCCTAATCCATTGGATTATCATCATGTTCTCCATTTTTCTCATTAAAAATAGCCATTTGATGGTGCTAAATCCACCATTTTTAGTCCCAGTTGCGCCATGAAGAAACCATGGCTGCGCCTCGTAGGAGTTCGCCCGGCTGCTGATGCACCTGGACCCCAAACGCTTCAGCGACCCCAAGAAGCTGCAACTCGTCGACTCGGTGGTGAGTTGGAAGCGGTGATGCCATGAACCATTTGGAAGAATGGTGGAAAAATAATGGTGCAACGTGGGGCCCCCTAGTTTTAAGTTGCTTTATAAACACCAGTAAGTTATAAGGACCTTAAACAATAGTTATTGTAGTTATAAACTGACTTAGCTATCTAGGGGGCCTCACTTTGTGGATATAATGGGAATATAATGGAGATATAATGGGGATATACCAATCGTTTAATATCATATCATGGGAATATCATGGAATAATTAATTATTAACTATGAGAATGTAATGGAATATAATATAACCTAACTAATCAACAGTATGCATCTATGCATGGGGAGTTTCCTGAATTGGGGGGTACCTCAATAGCTGGATGGTTTATTTCATGGAACATCCTATTAAAATGGATGATTCGGGGCTACCCCTATTTTAGGAAACCTCTATTTGTTGCTTGATCATGGTTGATACTGATTCGTTTTTTAATGGGGATAGAATGACTATTTCATTGGATGTAGATGTAATAAGCAACATGTTGATTGAAAATGGGTCACACCCTCCAGTAAACTAACACAACTATAGAAAATCACCGTAAAACCGGAAAGTCATGGTAAAACATCGAACTAAATGCTTCAACAATATGACTGCAGATAATCCTGGTTTTACTGTAACATGCTTTAACTTAAAATCCCTGGCTTATCTGTATTATTGCCACATGGCTAAGAGTCAAAACCCTGGTACCCAAACAGTACCCCAAAATAGCCAGGCCAGATAATAGATGTGATTTCCCCAAAGATATTGACATTAGGTTTTGACCCAACTTAGAATCTTGATGTCTGGATTATATCCCGATTTGTTGATGATTAGTTACCACCCTATATTTGATGGTTAGTGCCTCTTTCCACTCAAGCAAAGTTTAAGAGTCATGGCCAAACTTAACTCCTTGGTTCTCGATGAATTTTCTCATCAACCTTGGGTCCAATCAACTATCATTTATGTTTTTATAACCATGATTATAATCATTATATAAACCAGTTTATAATAATCAATATGTATATTTAAGCCTTAATATTTTTCATAACGCTTAATAACCAGTACAAAAAAATCTTGAATTCATGGCCACTTCATTCAACATCAAATCAGTGGGAATTTCAGGATCCTAAAATGGAGGTACTGTACCATACCATATTTTGTGAGGATATTCCCTTACATAGGCCTGAAAAATAGGCCTTATATATGGTAGGTACCTCCAATAAATCGGTTCCTGAAATTGCCATTGACTAAAGGAATGGGAAAACACATGGATGATTTGGGGTAACCCTACTTTAGGAAACCTCCAAATGATGATTTAATGGAATGCGAATGGGATAGTAATGACAGTACATGGGATATATAATTCTTTTTTTCATAATTCGTTTATGTAACTACCCAGTATTCATGATTTTCATGATTTTTCATAGCCACCTGCCACCAAATTGGACCTGCCATCTCAGGACCTCGGCCTTCCTGAAAGCGGACAACGATCGCAGTGGGAGTCTGGAGACCGGAGAGGTGGTCGAAGATCGCGGGTTGCGGCATTGGATTCAACTCTGCCGATTTTGGCGAGTTTGACAATATGGGTTTTGATAAATGGTAGAAAAATGTAGGTTTAACCACCTCAATGTAGAAAAATATGTAGAAAAATGTACCATAACCCAAGAAAAATATGGATTTCGCATGAGTCTGATAACACAAACATGTAGAAAAATATATTATATGGATTGAACCACAAACACCCAACGGTTGGACCCAACGAAACTGGAGAAAAATATCGATATTCACAAGAAAACTGGGATTCAAATTTCTGATCTCAATCCCAAAATCCACATCAACCCAAGCTTTGCAGCTGGAATTTCCAGTTCAACCATCATCTCTAGTCCAACAGGTATCGAAAACCAGCACATTTTAATTACTGAGTCGGTAAATCATCTACAATGTGGGGCCGCCCAGTTATAAGTTGTTTATAATCACCAGTAAGTATAGTTATAAGTATCATAAACTATAGTTATTGGAGGTATAAACTGGCTTAGCTATCTAAGGGGCCCCACTTTGTACAAACATGGAGCACGTTTTGGGAAACTCATCGTCAGGTGGAGGCTTGGTTGCGAGAATACCTCGCGAAGGCCGGCATCAGTGAAGAGGAGGCGGGAAGAGAAAGTTGACCACGGTGACAAGGGGAGATTCGAATTGCTTCCCGCAATGGAGATTAATGGGATCAATCTATAATTATCATATGTGATTTTCTTTAATAAATAATCCCATTTATGGTAATTTTTGATTAGATCCCATTTATGATCATTGAATATGGGCTTAAAAAAGGGATTATGTTACATTGCAGGCAGCAAAGGGGCATGATTTTTTCCACTGTGTTACATGATGAGTAAATGGGTGGGGTTCTTAAGTCATGGAGGATCCGCAAATCCATGGCTTTTCAATACTAAATCAATGGGAATTTCAGGATCCTAAAATGGAGATACTGTACCATATAAGGCCATATTTTATGGGGATGTTCCCTTACATAGGCCTGAAACATTGGCCTTATATATGGTAGGTACCTCCAATTTAGGATCCTGAAATGGCCATTGACTAAAGGAATCCATTGGTACCCTATTGACTTGACGCGGAGCCATCTAGATGTTGCCCGAAAATTCCCTCTATATATGGGGGGTTCCATAAATGGGATTACCCAAAATGGGTGGTTTGTAATGGAAAACCCTACTTGAGGAAACCTCCTAATGATTTAATGGAATGCGAATGGGACAGTAGTGGCGGTACATGGGATATATGTTTGATTGAACGACCAGCCTGATATGTTCATTGATATTAATGATGGTTGATAAACAAGGAGTTCAATTAAAGGATTAATGATTAACGGGATCAAAAATGGATCCTATAAGCAACCAACAATCTGAGCGAACTATGAGGATGAACATCCCAGCTATTTTTTAGGGGTTTTGACTCATACCCACAATGTTTTTTTTTAATAATATTGGTGTGATTTAACTAACATTGAGATTGGTTAACCAACAATGTTTAAGGCTTGTAATATGTTGTGATTCAACAACCATTGATATTAGTGTCATTACACACGGATTAATCAATAGAGGATAACATAATTGGTGATAATGGCTATTGTTTCTTTACTGTGGTTTACGGCCAAACATTTTGTGGGCATAGCTTATGAACATAATAATTGGTGTACTTGTTTTTGTAAATAACCAACAAGATGATAGATTGGGTTTGTCCAAAAATTCGAAGTACCCAAGTTACAACTATATAATTCAATAGTTTCAATAGTTGTAGTTCGGAATTAGATAACCCCACAGTTAGATTAATATATATTTGTAGTTTAACTACAAAATCATATAACGTATCACATCCCTGAATGAATTGTGGCTTTGCTATGCCCACTAGTTTTGGACGCAGTATGGGATGACTATACAAAACATATTTACCCAGCTTGACTGTGGCAATGATCATCGGCTGTACAATGGGGATAGAATGGGATATTTATATAATGGTGAATATTGAATATAATTGATTTAATAGATCTCGCTAGTGAATATATATATAATAAATATTGATATATAATTTCACCAGTTCTTTTTTAATTTGATATTATCCCATGGGATATTTATATATATATAATATATATATACACATGGATCCATCGATCATGGGATATCATGGATATAGTTTGGATAAAAAACCGATCAAAAGCAGTGTTCAAGACATGTTGAATATTCTCGGAACATGTTCGATATATTAGCCAGTGTTTATATCATCCATTAAACCATGTTTAATGATTATATCACCAATTAAACCATGTTTTATTGGCTGTATTATCCATTTCCTCACCATTTAATCATTTGTTTCACCAAATGATTCCCTGCATTCGGAACACAGAAAACATCGGTCAGGAACTCTACATGCTCCTTACCTGGCGCGACAATCGTAACGCGGGACCCTTGCGTTTGGATGTGCCACGGCAACCAAAAAACCGCCGGACCGGCAGCGCGACTGGTTTTTGGTGCAGTTTTTGGCGCGAGTTTTACCCTCTGGTTATTTAACGTAGCCATGGAAAATCAGCATTTTTAATGGGTATATCAACTATAAATGGGGTATGTTCAATAGCTATGTTAAATTACCAGAGGGTATCCATGGTTTTTTTTGTTGGTATATAGTGAATCAGCCTTGAACCATTGAACATAGTACTATATGGTCTATCTATATGTATATGTGACAGTGTTTTTCATCATTGATGATTGAATAATGGGGATATACTGGGGATAAAACCAACCAACAATGGTGATTTAATGGAGATATAGTGGAATATCGGGGGTTGGTAAATGTCCTAATTTTTCACATCACCCAAATATTGGGGATATAATCTTCAACAGATATGTGTTTTAGTGATGTTCAAAAAAAATCCAAAAATACAACATTTACCCTCTGGTAAACTAACATAGCTATTGAAAGTGGCCATAGAAATAGTGGATTTACCCAGCTAGAAAATGGTGGATCTTTCCAGTTCGTTACGTAAACGTTTACCAGAGGGTAACTCCAATTCACCACTACACTGTTAGCCCGGTATAAGCCTCTGAAAGTGATGTTTAAAATCCCCATAGGACATTTGCCAAGCCCTGAAAATAGTGCTTCATAATAAACCATATCCAAAATAATCTTCGGCCCTGGGGGACTAGGGGACTTGGTGGATCCGTCGTCGCCTTGGTTGTACTGGATGATTGGGGTTCCCCCCATGACCTAGGAAAGCTCCATATGTATGATGATTGAATGGCAAATACCGGGCGCTCACAATGTAGTGGTGAATTTTCTGGGATGTTTCAGGGGATTTTATGGACTTATAAAGTGATTATAATGGGACTGTAATGGAAGTCTAATGGGATTTTATGGGATTACCCTCTGGTAAACTAACATAGCTGTGGAAAAATTACCATTTTCAATGGGTAAATCAACTATTTCTATGGTCATGTTCAATAGCTATGTTTGTATGTTTACCAGAGGCTAATACCGGGCTAGCAATGTAGTGGTGGATTGGAGTTACCCTCTGGTAAACCTTTACATAGCTATGGAAAATCACTATGTTTAATGGGTAAATCAACTATTTCTATGGCTATTTTCAATAGCACACTGTTAGTTTACCAGAGGGTAATAAAGCGATAGTTAAAGGAATACCTTCGGTGTCATCAAACAGTAACATGGCTGGAAAATCCGTGGACCGTAGTTCATCTATAGATTGTCTGAAAAAATATTGATCATATAACTTACATTGACTTATCATTTATCTTTAGATTATCAATTTTCCTTCATTTTAAGTTACTGGTTGGTGGTTTGGAACATTTTTTATTTTTCCATATGTTGGGAATAGTGAACCCAACTGACTAATATTTTTCGGAGGGGTTGAAACCACCAACCAGATTATCAACGATGGATTTTCCATGCTATGTGGCTAGGTTTGATTACCCGAGGGTAACATGGTTTAAGCAATAAACAAAACGGTGACTGAACCACCAAAAAGTGAGGATTCAACAGGGAAAAAAACAGGGGAAGAACATAAACCAGGAGTTAGCAAGCAAGAAATACTGACATGATCAACATAGACAAGGAGTTCAGCGTACCAGAAAGGCACTTTGTTACGATACATTAAAGTGTCAAAGGCCGTTGGTGTTGTTGCCCAAACGCTTCACATTATATGGTTGGCTTCGCAAATATTGGATAAATGAACCGGCAACCACGGGATATAATATGATATAATGGATATTTTGAGATATGTCGTCAACAAATTGCCCTCTGGTAAACGTTTACATAACTATGGAAAATCACCATGCTATTCATTGGTAAATCCAGGGGGTATTTGGGGGTGTTTTGGAAATGGTTCACCAAAAAATGGGGGCGTTTCTACAGGGAGAACGATGAACCAATCAAATTTTGCGGGTATCCTACCAGGTTATGTTCCGACAAACGTCATGCACAATTCCTCACGTGGTTTGGATTTTTTTATTTTTCCATATATTGGGAATAATCATCCCAACTGACGAACTCATATTTTTCAGAGGGGTAGGTATACCACCAACCAGTCATTTGTTTCCATGAAAAGTCAGACTAAACGAGAAAAAAAAAGTACAGCGCTGACAACGTCATGCACAAGAAACTCTGACACTGTTGCAGGATTAGGTTTGATGTCGACGGGATACAGCTGCTCCTGCATAGCAGGGCATAGCTAAAGATAGTAGTGTGCCAAACTCAATCTGGTTGGTGGTGTCAAACATTTTTTATTTTCCATCATATATGGCATATTATGGGAAAATTTTTCCCATTGACTTTCATATTTTTCAAGATGGTTGTTGCACCACCAAGCAGCAACAATAGATACAAGTTGTGTAGGGTTTATACTGACACTGTGACTGTACCACCCATTTCTGGTAATTTCGGGATGGTTGATTCTTGGGTTTATGGCTTACCAGGTTAGAGCAGTAAACCCAAGGGTAACCCTGCCCCATATGCCCCATTTGCTACCTTCGGGTCAAAATAATTTCCTACATTGACCCCAAATTTCCAGTCAGACAAACCCAGAGTTTACAAGGATATTGATGCTATTACCGTTTGGTAAACGGTTACATAGCTATAACAAATCACAAATTTTAATAGGTAAATCAACTATTTCTATAGCCATTTTCAATAGCACACTGTTAGTTCACCAGAGGGTAAGGCTTGAATGATATGGACAGGACGAGCCATCCTGTTTTCACGTTAATCCTTGTAAATGTTTGCTGCGAAACCCCAAATGTCACCCGCATTTCACCCCAATGTTTCCTATCGTTCCCCCATTGTTCTCATTTCGTCAAGATTTCCCACATGTTTCCCATGTTTCCAGATGTTCACCGCAAATTTTCCCCAAGGTCCCCAGGTTTCTGGTCCAAAAAAACAACAAAAGGGCTAAGTCAACCAAGGACTTGTTGGGCGCATTTCAATCCTGTACTTCTCAAGGCGACGATCTTGGTCGGCAGCGAGCTTGGGGCAGCCCCCATGTTGGTAAACTTCCATAGTTGTTTACTGCTGATTCGTGAGGCTATAGTCCAGTATATTCCCATATATACCCATAGTGAATGATTATTCCATAATAAACCTCCATATACTATTATGGAATGGATTCTACTATGAATATGATTCAATAATAAGACAATGATTACTCCCAGTCTGTGAGATTATGGAGCTGTATTCCCATGAAATCCAACAATGGGTAGACAAAGAGACAAAGAAAAGAACTTTGATCATCTGCGGAGAAGGAGGTCTTGAACAGAGATGGCAAAAGCAATCCTTGCTTCATTTGGGAAAAACTTTTTCATCGACAGCCTGGATACTGTGAAAACGCTTCTGTTTACTGGTCAAGAGGCTTTGCTGACGATGTGACCGTCACAGCACTTCACAGATTTCAGTGGACGAGTCGACGAGGTCAAGTCATTTCTCGACATCAATTCCGAAAGAGCAGTCAAATGTCGACATGAGGATGGTTATATTCCTGACAACACCCTGCATATTTTCCTTACAAATCATGACAAGCAATGACAAACATACCTTCTTTCCGAAGGAGGCAGAGAACGGCAAGCATTTAAAAGCCATCACAAGACGCATGCACTGGGTCAATGTCACTGAGAAGCTATTCAAGGAAGAAGAATCTGAAACCCAGGCGAAATAACTTCTTGGTGATGTTGTGTCGAAGAAGCAGTGTGTAGCAGAGAATCTCGTGCCAGACGATCTGGAAGCCACACTGACAACTTCGAACTCGAAAAGGACTTCCTCACCTACATCAAGGCAACTGATAATGTATGAATGATCATACACAATCCAACCTTCCCTCATATCTTGCCATAGTTAATGCTATATTCCATCATAAACCCAAAGTACCCTCTGGTAAACTAACATAGCGAACTGGAAAATCGCGATCTTTAATAGGTAAATCAACTACAAATGTGCCGTGTTCAATAGGTATGTTAAATTACCAGAGGGTAAAAGTCCATATAAGATCCAATCTTCTTCTTGGTGCACCTGTGAGACTTCAGGATCTGTGGGATCAACTATGGGAAAATCTGGTGAAACAAAGCACCATTTCTATGGTGGAAAATTCAGCAACAAACAGTGGGATTTCTATGAGTGGATTTGATCATGAATATTGGCTATTTAACCTATAGAAATAGAAATCCCATAACTCCACTTATTTGATAATGGGTATTTAACCTAGAACAATCAGGGTTACCCCAATCAACTGGAGGTAAATGATGAGCCAGAACAGAAGGTGGGAATTGGTGATTCTAGTTATTGATTTAGCCCATGTTTTCCCCCTTGTAATTGGAGTATGCGGAAATCATCACAAAACTGGCATCTAAACGGAACTAGAACCGGGACCTGTCCAAAATTTATGGGGATTGAACTAACAGACATGTGGAACAACAATAAATCTAGAACACTCAGCTATTTAGCAGCAAAAATATTCAGCATGTTTCACGCAAGTTTGGATTTGATGAGCACGTTTATCTTTTTATTTTTAAAATATATGGGTTTGATTCAAAAACATAGCACCCACGATGGAAAAAACGCACCCACGATGGAAAACCAAGAGAAAAATGTGCGGTCCAGTCCAGTCCAGAAACGATGTTTGACCCACAGCCGTTTTGGAAAATGTGTGGAGGTTTAGAATCCAATCATCTATTCATCATTTGATTGGTGGGAAAATCTCAACCTAAAACTCCTACGATTGTTGAACGAAAATGTTTGGTGTTTGGAAAATCATCTCTTTCACCAAATATGATTTAACGGCTACTGTTGTAATTTGTGGGTACCCCCATGACTTAGGAAACCTCCACTTAGGAATCCCCCAGCAGACCGTGCCAGCAGGGATGAGCGCTCGCTTCAGAGGGCATGTTCCCCAAGCAGTTCCAGGCCCGAAATACCAGTGATGGATGTCAGTTCACCCCATGAAAATATATGAAAATGGTGTATGATAACCCCATGAAAATCATTGAAAATCACCATAAACCATGGTTGTTTGAGTGTAGATGAGATTTAGCAGACTTTCCATTGTTAATTGCTTCCATTATGTGGATTATTGTGGGGTGGTGGTATTATCAGGTTTGAGACAAATCCATACATACATATCCCTGGAAAACAAGATCGAACCCTGAACATTTGATTTTTGAAGAAGTCTTGCCCATTCATCATTGCCACATTCATGGAGTTCCATGTCGGGATGTAAAGGTGTAAGACCAGACCCTATGAATGATGATTGATCTTGGATGATTCATGCAAAATTGCCTCAATCCTAGTGAGGGATTTAGGATTTACTGTTCAGCTTCAGATCCTTGCAGTAGTTTGGACTGCCACACGACTTGAAATGGGGAGATATTTTGGGCCATGTGACAGCGGCGATGCGGAAATTGGATGTTTCATTGGCTTGGCCAGAAGGGCTTGAAGAAGGGAAAAAAACCTGAGCAGGTCCCAGGTTTCCGTCGTGAAAAAATGGCCACATCAGAAATGCTACACAAAATGCTATATGAACCAGTAGAATGATAATAATAATATGCTAACGGTTTCCATATGAGCAATATCAATGGGATCATCATCCAGCTAGAGAAAACAGGTTCCCCCCAAAAGCCTATGAGCCTGTGGTGGATTATGATTTGTCCCATTAAAGACTGATTAATTGTCATAGTCCATTGAAATTGCTATAACTTGGGGCATGTCCCATTTTTAAGACACACCCAACTATCATATTGATTCATATGGTTTCTTTATTTATACATATATATATATACTATGTGACTATGTATATATATATATATAATTATATATATATATAATTATAATTATATATATATATGACATACCCCAATGTATCCTACTAAGTTGCCATTTTGGTGTAACGAAAACACCACCATTTCACCCCAGCCTCTTATCGTTGTTTTTCAAGCCTTGACCGGTCCTTCCAGCAAAAATGGATGGAGAAAACTTCGATATTGTTACAATATATTTTGCTTTTTTTTTGGATGGAAATATCCTAACCCAAGCTGCCAACAGTTTTGTTTCAACGGCATATCCAAGATTAGCCCATCCCGTTGATACGTTTATAGTTAATAAGATCCTCATCCAAACAATGCTGTCACAACCACCAGCTCAGTCTCAACTGTCAGCTCATCATCATAAAATAGTTAGGGAATATTCATAGAATAGCCTCATAACGATGCCTCATCTCAAGTCTGAATCCACTCCGCACCGGATTTCGCAGCGCCCATCAGGCTTTTTTGAACCCCACGATGTCACTCTGCGCGGCATTTCAGAGTGATGAAGTGTCATGAGCTTGTCCAGGTAATTCTCAATTAGTTGGATAATGTTGGATAGAAATGGTGTTGAGAGATTTCAAAATGTCCACCAATCCCCATAATGTGGTAAACCCATTGCCATAAACCATCCTATTATCTATTAACCAACCATTTAGAGGTAATTTTACAGTATCCCATTGCTAGAGGGGTGCACCCAATTTTCATTAACTTCCATTGGGGATGGTTCATTACATAGTTTGAATCATTGCAATGGCATGGTCGAAGAATGTCTCTGCCAATGGGCCTGGAGACAAATCTACGACTTGCTACAAAAACAATGAAGGAAAACATCGTTTGATGCGTCGGCGTGCGATCATAGAAATAAGACAGCTGTGAAACGTGTGATGCTGTCAATATTAGTTTCCTTTCAAAAGGATCAAAGATGCAAAAATCATCAAAATTCAACAAACACGTGGCACTTGTGCACTCATCACAAATTTACCAATTTACTTGAAATGCTGAAAAAACATACAGATGTGACGCTGTGACACGTGTCTTTGAGGCATTTGCACCATGTCATAAAAACACACGGCCGTCTGTGCTGCGGGTACCTAGTTTCCCTGGTGGTATTTCATGGTTGTTGCTTGCCTCGTCATGTTTCTTTTACGACCACGTATGACCATCAAGTACCTCAATCATGTTTGACTTCAGCTAGTTGTTCAAGGTCTTCCAAAACGGGTTGGTGGTTTGGAACATGAATTTCATTTTTCCATAAATTGGGAATGTCATCATCCGAACTGACTTTCATGTTTTTCAGAGGAGTAGGTATACCACCAACCAGACAAATGGTCTAGAAAACTAGCTTATCATATCTTTTATCAATCATGAAGATTGAATCATCCCAATATCCCCAAATCAAATCTATACCCATCATACGGCCCATATTCATTGGGGGAAGATATCCAGACTTGTTTGAAATCAAACCCTTTCCGGCTTAAACATCTCCCATTTCATCCCGGAACCCAGGTTTCACCCATGGAATTTGTGATGCTCTTCGAGCATTTGCGCGAGCATCGCGATGCCACGGCCACTCGCCCTTTGAGGGATGGCTCCATTGCCAAAACATGCCAAATCTAGCGAAATGTTGTGTAAGCAGGCCTTTTTTTTTGCACCACTTACAGTTTTTGCAAGGGAAATCGGGCATATATGATGTTTACCTGTCTCTTAAATTGGCGTCATTGGCCATGTGTAGCTGAGATTGGATGCCACATTTTTTCCCGTAAATGACACGGAGATTCGACAAGCTATCAGATAGGTCATGTCAATGGGCAAAAAATTGTCATGTCGGGTTTTGATGGCAAGTTCATTGGCTTTACAGGCAGATAGTCAATTTTGCTGGAACCATCAATGTCCTGGCAACAGATTCTTGACTATTGAACAATGACAAAAATGACCCCTCCAAAAGTCGAACATGTTCTCAAAGTCGTGCCGTCAGATGGCCAGTGTATAATGGGCTCGGGTCATGTTTCGGTGCAGTCGCATACTGAGGATAAAGAGATTCGGCCACTCGGCACAGTTGGTGCTGATCATCTTCCACGGATCGTTGATGGGAAGTCCATGTAAGTCCTCCAGATGTGGTTTCTCCATGCTTATCCCATCCATAATATGGGTGAAATAATCAGGTATTAAGTTGGATGATCCTCCAAGTACTGGCTTCGCCAATCAAATTTGAGCCAACTTCGCCTACAATTTTTGAAAAGTTAGAGTTCCACTGGAAACACGTGCCATTCCAGCTGTGTTGGGATGAATCATATGGGTTTCTCTGAGAATAGGGTACCCAAAAATCCCAGGATTTTCTTTTGAATCACAATTTTTGGGTATATCCCATTGCCAGACACATATATATATATATATATAGATAGATAGATAGATAGATAGATAGATAGATAGATAGACAGATAGATAGATAGTTTACTTTATCATGTAGCCTGTACCATCGTTGTCCTGAAGGCAAGTACCAGAGCTTATCTCGAGGTGGCAGAATCAAAGGACGAAAGGAATACAGCACCCAACTTAGTCTGCATTTTCTCTGAATGTTTGTAACCCCTAGCCCCTATCATGACGTGTATTCTATTGCTGGAGAGTTCTTCAACTATAGTTTCCCGGCAAAAGCTACAAGTCCCATTAAATCTCTTTCTTCTTAGTGAAATCACCATTTTCCTATGGTTTCGAAGTGATGTTCCATAATTTTCCCATGATTTCCCATGGTTTTCCCATGGGGATATTTTTTCCCATGGTCTTCGGGGCCAAACACCGTCTCTGAGGGAACAGTTAAGTTCCTATTCCTGGCGGCGAAAGAACAAACAGGACACGGATCATATGCGGGATTTGCCGCGGGTAAACCTAGGGGTTGTAGCGTTTTTTTTATTTTCCCATGTATTGGGAATAATCATCCCAGCTGACTAATATTTTTCATCCCTGCTTGACCACCTTCAGGCCTCAGGGGAAATTCACAACCACAGACTAGTATATCGCATGCTGCACCGCATTGGTCGCAAAAAAGGGCAGCCTCCTGCTGGCCCTAAGCCACTGCCGCTACTCAAAAAAGCCGACGGAACCATAGCGTTCACATTTGAAGAGCAGCAACAGACCTGGTTACAGCAGTTTGCGCAAATTGAAGCAGGGATTACCATCACGTGGAAAGCCCTGCAAACACAGAATGATGGCAGTCGTGAGCAGGATCAGCCAGCTGATCTGCTGGAACCCAAAGCAATTCCCACGGCTTGGCAAATCCAGACTGTTCTTGGCCCCTGGACCACTTCAAATTCCCCCAGGGGTCATGAAAGCGGGTGGTGAGTTTCTCTCGTATCAACTAGCAGTGCTGTTCACCAAGACTAAGGCGCAGTGCAGAGAACCACTAATTGTATTAATGTGGAAGGGTGGCATGCTAGTACCTCTATGGAAAGGGAAATCCTCTCCCACCCAGCCAGAGGCATACAGGAGCATTTTCATATCAAACTACACAGCAAAAATCTACCACCAATGCCTGAGAACTCACCTGGTGAACACTTGGGAGGCCAGCCTGTCCCACCTGCAATGCGGGGGACGCCCTGGCATTGGGGCAGACATCGCTCATCATGTAGTGCCTCCGCGATCCTGCTTCTCGATCAGCATTCTACACAGTGCTACGCCAGACCCTGACAAGCCTGCCCTCCAGCAATGCAGCCTTTGTCAAAGCCATGCACCAGCTTGGGTTGTCTGAGGAAGAGACAGAACGCATGGTGATCACAGCTGAGCAAGATCACGCAACTGATGGCCTTTCCCTGCACTTGCAGCACATCCTCCAAGACATGATGCAATGCAACAAAAAATGGTGTTGAAACCACCAGCCAGATTGTTAATAATGGTTAATGACCAAGGGGAGTTGCTAATGATATGGTCAATGTGACCATGAAGAATGATGATTTAACTATTCAAATCTTTTGAATATGGTGATTTAATATGAGTTAATGGGATATAAATGGGGGTAATGTGGGTAAAACCATGCCATTTTAACCACCCATGACTGGGAATGGTAACCATAGCACCTGTAAAGATGGTGATGACTGGGGGATGGTTTGTGATTGTTTAACCCACATTTGGTTAGTTCACCCTAGTCATAAGTGGCTTAACCCTACTTATCCCACTGAAAAAAACAGGAATATAACCTACTTAGGATTCGTGAGACCACCAGGTAGTGACCTCACATCGTGACCTCACTGGAATCATGGTTACAAGTAGTGCAGGGAATCACCCCCCATATAGCTTTATTTCAGGTTAATAAAAAATAGTATAATTTTCTCAGATCAATACGGATTTTAGCCCACAAAAATCTTACCGGTGATGGTTTATAGTTATGATATGTTATTATAGATCATTCCCCCATTCCCTACTACTAAGCACCAGTAAGAACCGCTAAGAAATGATGCGTGAAGAAATTCAAGGTGAGTTAACCAACAAAATGTGGATTTAAGACACTCAAGATGAAATAAGATGCCCAAACAATATGTGGATCAAACCGGGGTTCAGATCATTAGAAAATAACATTTACAAGGTCAGATTTGGTTAACAAAGCAGGGCTTCACCCACAGAAACTTTGATTCCAACAGAAGTGGTATGCTATAGTGCAATTTCTACCAGAAATGGCTAGTGATTTACGGGGAAGAACTAGAAACCATGGTTCCACATCCCCGGAGGTCCCCATTTCAATGGCCTTCTCCCAATGCTTCTCAGCTGCTGGAAAATCGATGATTTTTGGGTGAACTCCCGGTTGGTTCCTCAAAGATCTCAAAGTGCCAGTGGCATCCCCCAAGTTTCCTGCAAAATGGGCCGGTATATTCAATATATAAATAAATAAATATATATATAATGGGGATGGGTCAAAAGCCTGTACCCCTTCTGTTCACATCAAAATGGCTGGGCTAAAATGGATGTTCATCCCCATAGGTATTGATCCATAGCCATATGTTGGTAAAAAGGCTGGACGATCAATCCGACGAAATCTCAGTTCTCGTTGCTTACCCCATTCGAATCACATGTTGTCCCCATATAATCACCATACTTGATGGCTCATCCCACTTAGTAAGTAGGTTACAATTAACCCTTGCCATAAGTCATAAGTAAACCTTACTTATCCAATTTATCACCAGGGATATTACATACTTAGGATTCGTGGTGTCTGAGGCACCATTTCCGTGTTTCCAAATGTTTCCTAATTATTTAGTTCGATATATTAAGTTATAAATCCCATCAAACTTAGCCAACTATATCACTACTATATCCCATTCTCCATTCAATTCTCCCGTATTTAGAGGATTATATCCCCACAAGGTGGCCCCCCCCCCCGTTTATAAGTTGGTTTATAAAGCATAGTAGGTATAGATATATCTTTCAGTAGTACCGCACAAGGCGGTGGCGGAAGTTTCAAAAATAGGAAACCTATAGGAGAGGTTGGTTGTTGTGAATCATGGATGGCAGAGCGAAGCCACTGATGGATCGAAAGGTGATTGATGTCTCCTCTCTTTCTCTCTCTTTCTGTCTCTTTCTCTGACTATCCTACCTACCCACCTATCTATCTATGTATCCATCTATCTCTCTCTCTCTCTCTCTTCTCTGTCTGTCTGTTTGTCTGTTTATCTCTTTATCTATCTATCTATCTACCTATCTATCTATCTATCTAACTATCTATCTATCGTTCTTTCTATCTATCTATTTATCTATCTATCTATTTATCTATCTACCTATCTATCTATCTATCTATCTATCTATGTTCCTATCTATCTATCATTTTTTCTATCTACCTATCTATCTATCTATCTGTCTATCTATGTATCTCATCTGTCTATCTGACTATGTATCTATCTATCTCCCCATGTACCTATCTATCCATCTATCTATCTCTCTGTCTGTCTGTCTGTCTGTCTATCTACCTGTCTATCTGCAAGCTTGAAAACAAAGCTATTCTGCGAGACGTCCTCAGGTTTTGAACTTGACAACATCAAAAACGGAGCACTTCTGCGAGATTTCCTCAATATCACCCACCCCTAAAAATGTATTTTAGGGGGGGAGAGGTCAGGTAAAAAAAATACATTTACCGTTCTCCAAGAATTTGATTCCCCAGGACCCTCCCTAAATACATTATTTGACTGGTGGGTGTACGTTAAATGTAGGATCCATGGGTCGGGATATCCAACCCCCCCAGGATCTTTTATTTTGGGGGGATGGTTTAATACATTTTACGGGTTTGGTTTTTCCAGGATCCCCGGGAATGTTTATTTTTTTTCTGGGGAATACCATTCTTTGAAAAATGTATTTTAAGGGGGTTGGGTAGCCGAAAAGCACATCATTTTTGGAAAATGGAGGGAATAGATCTGGCTAAGGTAGTCATTGGTACCCCCTGCAATGCATACATTTCAGAAAATAGTGTCATGTCTTCGGAGTGGGAGCGATGCGTGCTTGATCGTGTTTGCATATGTGATGCATGTGTTTGTTTCCAAAAAAATCCAAAAGCGTAAGCTAACGGAGTCTTCAGCGCAGAATATTTTCGGTGACCCCAGGTATTCCCAGGTTTCCCCATGGGTTTCAGTATGTTTCCCAGGAAAAAAAAGATCAATTGGATTGAGGTGCAGACCCCCCCATGCTTGCATACATTTAGAAAAGTTTATGTATTCATTGGCTCTTGTCAGTGGTGCCCCCCACAAAGCATACATTTTCAGGTTCAATACCCCGACCAATAATACATTTCCAGCATCTGGCACTCAGTCATACATGCCTCATTTTGAGGGGTTACCCCCCCCTAGTTCCCATACATTTTTGGCAAAAAGTGAGGGGGTTAACCCCCCCTTATGTTCATACATTATCAGAGATGTAGGATCCACCCCCCCTACTCCTGAACCAGTTGGGGCCGGGGATTCCTCAATGTCACGAAAGCTAGCGTCAGCTAGCTGGAGTCTTCTTGCTTTAGCAAGTATTCCGGGGGCTGCTCAAGGACATCACGTGATTTTTCACGCGAAAGGGGGGGACCCCCCACCACCACCACCACCATCATCATCATCATCATCATCATCGTCATCATCATCGTCATCATCATCGTCATCATCATCATCATCGTCATCGTCCTCGCCATCATCCTCGTCCTCGTCATCATCATCATCATCATCATCATCATCATCACCATCACCACCATCATCATCGTCATCATCATCGTCATCAGCATCATCATCATCATCATCATCATCATTGTCATCGTCCTCGCCATCGTCCTCGTCATCGTCAAAATCATCATCATCATCACCATCATCATCATCATCATCGTCCTCGTCCTCGTCCTCGTCCTTGTCCTCGTCATCGTCCTCGTCCTCGTCATCGTCATCATCATCATCATCATCACCATCATCGTTAATCACTTACATTTTATCCTTATTGGCAATTATTGGCATTATCACGAAAGCTAGCGTCAGCTCGCTAGAGTCTTCTTGCTTTAGCAAGTATTCCGGGGCTCCCCAAGGACATCACGTGCTTTTTCACGCGAAAGGGCCCCCCCTGCCCCCTCCCCCATATATATCATTGTTATATATCATATATCATATATCATATATCATTGTTGCATCCTCATTGGGACGAACAATGCCGCGACACGATGATGACAGTCCCGCCGCAACTCCTTCCCTTCCTTCTTTCTCCTACCCCGCTAGCTTTCGTCATCCACCCCCGGCCTCAAGTTTGAACTTGACAACGTAAAAACGATGAGACTTCTTCATTTTTCAAAGCTGACAACATCAAAAACGAAGCAATTCTGCGAAACTTCCTCATTTTTGAACTTAACAACGTCAGAAACGACACAATTCTGCGAGACTTCTTCATTTTTCAAAGCTGACAACATCAAAAACGAAGCAATTCTGCGAGACTTCCTCATTTTTGAACTTAACAACGTCAGAAACGACACAATTCTGCGAGACTTCTTCATTTTTCAAACTTGACAACATCAAAAACGAAGCAATTCTGCGAGACTTCCTTCAAAAATGGAAAGTTGCATGCAGCGCTGACGGCCTCGTACCAATGCGTGTTTTTTCGATTTTTCCACTCCACCTGTCTAAAGTATTATTGCGCCTGCCACGAAAAAGTGATGCCAGGTCATACGAAGTGCTGCACCTGTCACGCAAAATCATCTCAGCAAAGCAAACCTGAGGATCTGAGGCTCCAAAATGCAACCCTTCTTAGGAAATCAGCGCCCGGACCGCCTAACAGCTCTGATGAAGATGTCTCTTGTACTGCGCCTGCCACGGAACATGCATCTTTGCAGATCCTGTTCTGCCCCACGCCTGCCATCGTTCTTGGAAATGCTACAAAACCCTCACGTTTTGCTCATTTTTGACAAGGTGCACAATCCCTTGCGCTTGCAACGCGAAACGAAATCTGAACGTCCAAAAGTGGTCCGAGCATGGTGTGCTTTGTACATTTTGACTTCGAAATGTGCTTCGCGCCACAACAGCGTGCACTTTTTCGACATCTCAACTTCCAAAAGTGGTCCGAGCATGGTGTGCTTTGTACATTTTGACTTCGAAATGTGTTTCGCGCCACAACGGCATGCACTTTTTCGACATCTCAACTTCCAAAAGTGGTCCGAGCATGGTGTGCTTTGTACATTTTGACTTCGAAATGTGCTTCGCGCCACAACGGCGTGCACTTTTTCGACATATCAACTTCCAAAAGTGGTCCGAGCATGGTGTGTTTTGTACATGTTGACTTCGAAATGTGCTTCGCGCCACAACGGCATGCACTTTTTCGACATCTCGACTTCCAAAAGTGGTCCGAGCATGGTGTGTTTTGTACATGTTGACTTCGAAATGTGTTTCGCGCCACAACGGCGTACACTTTTTCGACATCTCAACTTCCAAAAGTGGTCCGAGCATGGTGTGTTTTGTACATGTTGACTTCGAAATGTGCTTCGCGCCACAACGGCATGCACTTTTTCGACATCTCAACTTCCAAAAGTGGTCCGAGCATGGTGTGTTTTGTACATTTTGACTTCGAAATGTGCTTCGCGCTACAACGGCGTGCACTTTTTCGACATCTCAAGTTCCAAAAGTGGTCCGAGCATGGTGTGTTTTGTACATTTTGACTTCGAAATGTGCTTCGCGCGACAACGGCGTGCAATTTTTCATCTCTCATCTGGCCAGATGGCTCCACACCCGCCGCTTTAGCGAGCTTACTTTTCGACCCTCCCGAGCCACAAATCATTGGAAAAATGCAGTGTTTCGCGACTTTCCTATCTTTTCGCACACCTGCATCTTCTTTCTTCTGACTCTTTCTCTTCTCTGATTTTCTCTCTTCTACTCTTCGCTTCTTTCTGACTCTTCCCATCTCTTCTTTTCATCTGTCCATATTGTCGGAAGTTTGACTTCTAAACTTCCTTCGATTATAAAGCATAGTAAGTATAGATATATCTACCATAAAACCATAGTTATTGGAGTTAGTGGCACCAACTTAGCTAACTATTGGGCACCACCTTGCATGCAAACCCCAAAAAAAGGGGAAACCCCAAGCAACAGGAGATGAAGCGAAGCTTCTCAGGGAACCTGACCAGCTTGCTTAACAGCTTAGGTGTCCTGGATGGACGGCGGATTTCGTCGGTTAGGATGGGATGAAAACATGGATATGACCTATAGTCATCCCCAAATACCCTCTGGTAAACTAACGTAACTATGGAAATTCACCATTTTTAATGGGAAAATCCACTATAAATGGCCATGTTCAATAGCCATGTTAAATTACCAGAGGGTAGATGGAAAAGTAAATCACCATCAAATTAGTAGGGATTTACTTTTCCATCGATTTGGGGATCATCATTTTTAAGAACGGTAAGTGAAATCAACGAACTGTTCATGGCCATGGTTTTAATAGCTATGAGGGTATGTTTTATGATGTTCCCAATTGCTATTTAGGATTATCCCCACAAACATATCCTACCCTCACTTTAGGGAACCGTCCTCTCGTTTGTTTGGCTTTATGTGTTGGTCGTCACCTACAAATTTGATCAATGTTTAATGTGTTCAAAAGTGACTTGCTAACATTTGCCAACTACAAAGAGGGTAAACCTGGGTTAGGTAGTTCAATGGTTGTTGTGAGTTCTTTCAGAATGTATATACTACCCGGGAACCAAAAGAAATGCAGGGCATGTAAGAGTACACACAGACCCCGACGTTCCACAAACCCCGAAACCAGCTATAGCACATTATATTATCAGACATGTTGTAGACATGCAACAATACAATAACGCTATTCCAGTGCACAGTTTACAGGAAATCTATGGTTTAGGGTTGACCATGATTGTCGTCATCGTCATCGACTATCACCATCACCATCATCAGCATCATCAGCATTGTCCGTACACTCATTTTGCTTACCACCTGTCTAACCATGGATCCTCCCCACTATGCAGTTAAATCTGTTGTTCTGGTTTTAAACGCCTTCCGTGGTTTTTTGTGTTATAGCCCCATGTTCTAACGAACAAAAAGAACCATGATTCACTTATTAAATTGTTGATTATACCCGATTCTTATCCACTAATACTGTAACCATATTTAACAAATTATATCACTGCTTCAAAATATCCCCATTTATTCGCAAAGAAAGTTGCACCGATTCCTCCACTGCAGGTCATAATCCCAACACCCCGGTGGGTTTGGGGCTCTTTAAACAACTCCTCGCCGTCCTTACAGCCTCTCGGAGCATGGGTGGAATGGGAAAGATGTAGTAAACAAATCGATCGAAACAGTTGGATGATGTTGGATGCAATCTCCAATGAAATGATTCAACCTTTTGGACCTTAATAAGATGTTCAACCATTCCAAACTTCATGGTGTAAAATATGTTTTCAAAAAATGTGGGGATTGAATGGGGTTGAAGCGAGATGTAAGCTTCAAACATGGGGGATGGGGTTGGGAATTGGACATGTATCTAGAAATCAATGGCAGAAGGGGCGCGAATGGTTCCGTGAGCCCCGCTTGTTTTGTCCATCCGAAACTCGTATGGCTACTCCACATGAAACGACAAAAATCCGAAGTTCGCAGTGGAATAGACCTGTTTGAGGTGCTTGAATTCAACAGACCGTGTTTTTTGTGGGTACATTACCAGTAAACGAACATAGCTGGTTGGTGGTTTGGAACATTTTTATATTTTTCCATATATCGGAAATGTCATCATCCCAACTGACGAAGTCATATTTTTCAGAGGGGTTGAAACCACCAACCAATCACATAGCTTTCAAGAGGATTTCAAGGGGTAAAACATCTCTAAATGGGTCGTCATCCATTTTCCATGGTCCAAATGGGACCAGGTTACGGGAGATTTACCAGTTTCCGAATCCAAGAATTTCTTCCAGACCCAATCTTACCACCATGGGATTGTAGACACCGTAGAAATCCGTAGAATATTATATATCTATTCATATACAAACCAGAATACATTGAGGTTTATCACCCAGCTTTTACACACATTTGCCGAGCATTTCCAAGCGCAGCTGCCAAGACTTGATAAATCACTCACTGCACATTATATGCTCAAGAATCAGGAGCCAGTGTTGAACATATAGTTGGAAATGTTTTAGCTAACTACTTCCTTTCTAGATGATTTCGCTAGATTAGATTTGTGTGATTTGTCAAACCCCTCAAGTCATTTTGTTACCAGTCAACTTAAGCGGGATGACAGCCACAAACGGCCCTTGTGGCTGAGGCAATTTTGCGTGCTTTGGCCGGGCCGGTGATCGTGGAACCAGTTGGGTTTTGCATGGAAAAAACAACGAAGAGTTTCCCTGAGTAGTCATGGGGATTCTTAAGTCATGGGGAATCCCCAAACCCATAGGTTTCAATACTAAATCATACTATCTGATTTATATAATTTGGATGATTTGGGTCATTTTAGGAGACCGACCTTTTTTGTTTTTTGTTGGCTAAAGCATCCAAGTAGTTTGGGTCCTGGAAATGGAGTATACACCCAAATCATGGCTGGAAAAAGATGGAAACATGATAATCGACCCGCTGGGATTTGGGGTACCCATGGGTAGCCTCTTTTTAGACACGGCTAACAGTGTTGGGAAACAACAACAATTGGCTATACAATTCCCCCAGCTAACATATATATATATATATATATCGACCCTGCTAAACAGGGGGGGTGTTGGAAGACTGCTGTTCTCCAAGATTCTTTCTCAACATTGCTCGACGGTATGGTATATTGCGATGACATTTAATGCAGCAATGACAATGCATTTCTGATTCAAAATGGATGAGTAATAAGGTACCATGGTTGTGCTAATACGCGTGACTGTCAAAATTCTGAGACATGCAAAGCAACTCAAGTACTGCTGGTCACGTACCTGTGGTAAGGTTTGGATTCAAAGAACTATCATATATTATGTTGTTCTCCAAACTGCAAGATATCTCACCACCCAATACATACTATACAGTAAACATATGTGTATATATATATATATCGTATTTTAAATACTATAGTAATAGTATTATGTAGATATACAGTTATTATATATAATATAGTGGGTTAACCGTTGTTTGGTACAGTACCTTAATGGTTTATGTCGTTTGCACAAGTGCAAACAAGTCCGTAGATGTTCATCAATTTCTTCATCGTCTACCAGAGAAAATTGTGATTTCCCATATATTCATTTTGGGCATTAAAAAACCAAAGCTAGGCTTCATCAGGGCTTATTAACCACCCATGGGGATATAGCCAACAACTGGTTGGTGGTTTGGAACATTTTTTATTTTTCCATATATTGGGAATGTCATCATCCCAACTGACTTTCATATTTTTCAGAGGCGTAGGTATACCACCAACCAGATTGATTACTATTATTAAACATGATTAACCACTATTAACAATGATTAACTTATTAACCATTACTAACCAGAATATGTAGATATACAGTAAAAACCAGCAGATCTTCTGTTCATTTTGGACTGGGAACAGGCTGTTCCAGACTCATCACATCCAGAATGGAAACATAAACCGAGCCGCAACCGACAGAAACAAATTGAGCCACAAACATATCCTTGTTGGTTGGTGATTATTAGAAGTTATAGTTGAATTAGTTGGGTTTTAACAATCAAAAACGGAGATATCACGAAAGGTAGCTCCAGAGGGGCTACCTTGAGTTTTACTTTACGAAGTAAAGGGGAGGGCGGCCAGCCCCGTTACCTGATTCTTCAGGAGATTGCTAGTCATTTTAGTAACCCCCCCCCCTCCACACCTCCCACGCACCCTAAGAGCAGACTCAAAACATTGTAATTTACAGTATTTTTGTTCTTTTCGGATCAAGAAACCACATTTTGCTACATGGTGAAACCTCCGTAAATACCAGTGTTTTTGCTAGGTGCTGGCCAAAAAACACTGTAAATACCGTGCTTTTTACTACCAGAGGCAAAAAACATCGTAAATACTGTGGTTTTGGGCTTCCGACCCGCCAAAAACATCGGTATTTACGGTGTTTTTTGCTCCGAGAGTTGCAAAAACACGCGAAAACACCACCGATTTGACGATTTTCGGCCACTACGGAACCGAGCAAAAACGCTGCAGGGGTAACACCAACACCAACAACAACAACACCAACAGCAACAGCAACAACAACAACAACGACGACAACAACAACAACAACAACAACAACAACACACAACGCACAATGCACAACGCACAACGCACAATGCACAACGCACAACGCACAACGCACAACGCACAACACACAACACACAAAACACACAACACACACACAACACACACAACACACACAACACACACAACAACACACAACAACACACAACAACACACACACAACCACACACAACAACACACACACACACAACACACAACAACACACACACACACAACAACACACAACAACACACGCAACACACACAACACAACAACGCAACAACAACACACACACACACACACACAACAACACACAACAACACACAACAACACACAACAACACACACAACACACACAACACACAACACACACACACACACAACAACACACAACAACACACAACAACACACAACAACACAACAACACACAACAACACACAACAACACACAACAACACACAACAACACACAACAACACACAACAACACACAACAACACACAACAACACACAACAACACACAACAACACACAACAACACACAACAACACACACAACAACACACAACAACACACAACAACACACAAACAACACACAACAACACACAACAACACACAACAACACACAACAACACACAACAACACACAACAACACACAACAACACACAACAACACACAACAACACACAACAACACACAACAACACACAACAACACACAACACACACAACACACAACAACACACAACAACACAACAACAACACACAACAACACACAACAACACACAACAACACACAACAACACACAACAACACACAACAACACACAACAACACACAACAACACACAACAACACACAACAACACACAACAACACACAACAACACACAACAACACACAACAACACACAACAACACACAACAACACACAACAACAACAACAACAACAACACCATCAACAGCAGCAGCAACAACAGCAACAGCAACAGCAACAACAACAACGAACACGAACAATACCAACACCAACAACACGACCAACAACACCAACACCACCAACAAACCCAACCACACCAACAACACTAACAACACTAACAACACCAGAAACACTACCACCACCAACAACACCAACACCACCAGCACCACCAACACCACCAACACCACAACCACCACCAACCCCAACCACATCGCCGAAGCCTTTCAGTCGCTTTTAGCAGACTCCCCTTCATATTTTTGGAAAGAAAATGGCCGCGTCGCTTTTACCAGACTCCACTTTATGTATTTTTCCCTCCCCTCTCCCCTTCATTTTTTCTTCGGTTCCTTTCTTGCTTACCTACCTTTCGTGTTCCCCCTCTCAAGTAACATGATGATAAGTGGAAAAAAAACCGATGTTTTTTGTTTGGTTATGACATGGGAGCTATTCTCTTCCTGGGTGATTGGGGGTTATGAACTAACCCGTAAGGAAACTGATCAACATAGATGTCTTTTTCCCATTGGTTGGTTGATGAAAAAAAAGGGGTTTGAAGAAACCCCTTTAACAACAGGTAAATGATGATAGATGGTATACCAGCTCCCGGCCCCTCTATTTTTACCAAAAGGACATTATTGCTTATCAATCAACTAGTATTTCATGAGATGGGATAGGGGTGATGTTCGTGGCTCAGCTGACTTACTGTAAACCAATAACAAAAAGGCGTCAACCAAACCTCGGCTTCATTAGGGCTTCTTAACCACCCATGGGGATATAGCCAACAAATATGGAGGTTTGAGAAATTCTTAGGGTGAATAGATAAACAAATATTCAATTGGGATGAATATTTCCAATGGGCCCCTATCACAGCGGTCAGTCGACTAGTTGGGGCTGCACTTGGGAAAACATGTTGGCAACTGGTGGTTGGCAAAGTTGACTATGTTTCCAATGCAACCCAATTAGATCTCGGAATAGGTCAGAGTAAGTTATACTCCCCCAAAAAATGATATTGTTGTCAAAACCCCAAAAAGATGAGGAGTTCCACATCCCAAGTCGTGCAAGCTTCAAATCCCTGGCGGTTTTTCCGCCATGGATTTCAGGTATCGATCGCGAGCACATGCTCATGTTCTTCGCATGGTCGAAGACAGGGCACTTTCAGCTGACCGATTCGATCATCGAAAAGGCGGAGCGGTGATGCCGGTTGGAAAACCGTCGAAAGACTCTCAGAAATGCGGTTGAAAAGATTGGTTTATATCATGTTGTGAAAAATGTGGTGGTAATTGTTTAGCCGATTCTAAACCTGCCATTTTTGGAGGGTGTATACAACCCATTTCTGGTGATATTGAGGATATGATTGGGCTTATCGCATAATGTTCAATGATGTAAAATGAATTAAAATGATATAATATGATATAGCCTACAAAGGACTTTGAAGTCATTGAAGCATGTTGAGTCAAGCACTGTTTGATTCGGAGTTTACCAGAGTAGTTATACTGGCTTTCTCGGGATATACAACACACACCCTTATGTGATTCCATTGTGTCTAAAAATGATATATACCTCCAATTACGACCTTTTGAATCGGGAAAATGATGATAAACCATGGGATTTTGGGTGGTTTTTCTATGCTGTCTGCCCCACTTTCGGTCTAATCAACAAGCCTTTGGGGTCGAATTTGAGCTCCAAAATATATGGGAAACCATTGAAGACCGGAGCGATTCGGGTGGATGATCATCTCATTGGCCAACCTGATACTGGCTATGTATAGTTCATCTGGCTCGGCAGGGCTGGTGAGTTTGTGCTTTTTGGTTGGAATATCACTGATTTTTTTCGAATTCGGTTGTCCATTTTTTGCTGGCGAGATTCGGCATGCTGGTTGCGCAAGTCAAAAATGACGGTAACGGCCCATATGTCATCCCTAGATCACTTGCTGTGTGAGACTGGCAAGAATCCTTAATTGATATGGTTGAATCAGCTAAAATCCCAGCATTGCTGCTGGTTACCCATTGTTTCACAGGCAAAAATAATTTATTCATATTGAATCCCAATATTTTGATGATAAATTTCCCCATTGTTTCATAGGTAAAATTCATTAAATCTCAATATTGATGATACATGTCTGAAATCCCAATAATTCCTACTGCCAAATTTCCCATGCATTTCCCGCGAAAAAACACCACCCGAAACCGGTCTCTGGTCTTTGTAATCAGGTCCTGGAAAAGGTCTTCATGAAGGCAACACAGCGGTGTGGGTGCTGTGGGCAGGATGGTTTAACAATGCTGGGAATATATATATGTATATATCATAATATATATATTTATAATATGGGAATATCATGGAATATCTATATATTATATGCTATAGTAGTATTTAGATATTACACAATATTATGAAATTCCATATTATCCCATAATTATGGTATAGTAGAGATAATATGGGATAATTATGATAACATGGGATAGAATAATAGAGATGTGACAATATTATGGGATAATAGAGACTATATGGGAGATGATATGGAGATAATAGATTGAGATAATATGGGATAATAATGAGATTACTATGGGAAAATAGAGATAATATGGACATATGTGGAATAATGATAAATTTATGGAGATATGATTTGGGTTAAAAAATGCAATATTATGGGAACATGTTATGGAATAACGATATTATGGGATTTAACTATATTCAATCGGTCTTGGGATAATAACGTATTCAATATTATGGAATTTAAACTATATTATGCCATTCATACCAAAAAGAAATTTAAGTAACTATTAGGTACTATTAATTAACCATTAATAACCATTGGTAAGCACTAATCTGGATAAATGATAACGACCTCACTGTTCTTCCTCACTGGAATGATGAGTAGTAGGGGTAGCTATCCCAAAATCTCCTTCTTTCAGGCTTGTGATTTTACAATCGATACAGATCAAATGGGGATGTAATGGGCCTTAATGGGAATAGAATAAGGATCTGGTGGTTTCCTAAAATGGAGATACCCCATTCATCATCCATGTTTTTCTCGGGTTTTCCATTACAAACCATCGAGCTATTGGGGTTCCCCCATTTATGGAAACCTCCAGATGTTTCTTGACATACTGGAGGCCTTGGGGATCTCACCACAAGGCCGTTAACCCGGAAATACCTTGGGAAACTAACCACAATAATATGGGGCATATTGGTGTTAACCATGGCTTAGGACTATTACCCTCTGGTGATTTGTCACATAGCGAACTGGAAAATGACCCACTTGCAGATGATTTTCCCGGCTAGAGGCCCACATTTATAAGGGATTTTCCAGTTCGCTATGTGACAAATAACAAGATGTTAATAGTGGATTTGTCCAACAAACATTGGTGTAAATCCAGAATGCTTCTACAGTAATGATTATGGGACTTAATGGGAATGTTTTTCTATGTAGGATACAGTGGGATTTATGATGAATTACCATCTGGTAAACTAACATAACTATGGAAAATCACAATTTGTTAATGGGAAAATCCACTACACATGGCCATTTTCAATAGCTATGTTACAAATTACCAGAGAGTATGATTTATGTGGGATTAGCGGGAATGATTGGAATTATAGCCCTAAACTTGGAAAGCTCGTTAAATTGGTTAAACTATTATTAAACTATGAATAAAAACTGCATGGTTTTTTGGGTTCCATGAGTTCCATCTTTAAAAAGGACACCTGGATGGAACTGGAGAACTGTGGAACTGTGGAGTTTTTTTGGATTTCCTGGGATTCATTCTATATATATATATAATTATAACTATAATATTATATATATATATAGTTACTTATATTGCTAATATATAGAGGATATATAGCATATGAAAAGCCAGGTTTTGGATGGGAAAATATCCTTTGGAAAATCCTGATAATTATAACTGCGATGGGAAAACCAACTGGATTTACGGAAGTTAATGGGTATATAGATAGTACCCTCTGGTTATTTAACATAGCCATGGGAAATGGCCCATAGAAATAGATGGTTTACCTATTAGAAATTGTGTTTTTTCCATGGCTATGTTAAATAACTAGATGGTATATTCATGTTAATATATTTGTCATGGCGAAAACATGTTTCTACCAAGGTTTTTCTACAAGGTTTCAAAAGGAGGAATCACCGCTGGTTGGTTTGTAGCGGGGAGGGAACCCGCAACGGTACCCCATGGTTGAGCCGTATCTAGACTGCAATGGTGAGACCTTTTCTTGCTTTGCATCGGATGGTTTCAAGTGTTTCTCACTTTCCATATCAATGGATTTATTTTGTGCGGACCGGCTCATAAACAGCAAACTCTTTGAACATATTATACTCTTATGAACTTTGGACATAATGTATGAACCGTTTGAATATTGAAGCTGGGTACCAATCAGTCCATGCTCACACATAACGGGACACATGTCAGTCACATGTTGGGACGCATTTTTTTCCTCACAAGTGGATGTTGACGACATGTCGCTTCTTCCAGGTCCCAAAGTCCAAAGAACCCTTGCTGTCAATGAGCGTCAGTGAGAATGCTTCTCAACCCGTTGGGCTGGGACGATAGTTATCTGTTGTGTTTGCGGTTGAGATCATCCCAAATCATGTTTTCGGGAAACCAATGGCTAGCTTTGGGATCCCCAATTAAAGGAAACCCCAGGGGGGATCATGTCAATCCGTGAAGATATGGAGTTCATCATCAGCATCGGATTTGTCGACTACTTGCGGGTGCAGTTGGGGCTTAAAATGGGTATATAACATTATATAACCATGGTAATAATTCCATAAATGATCATAAATTGGAATATAAGCCTTACAACTGTGGTGAATAATTATAATGGATTAAATATCCACTAAATATCCATTAAATATCCACTTATAACTGCAGAATAGAATGAAACACAATCATACTTGATCATACTGGATCCTTGGGCTCCTCGGCGCGTGGAGCAATGAAATCGATTTCCGAAGGGTTCGTGTGAGGAAAGCCAACCATGAAGGTACCCCTAGGTGATTTCACATAGCGCATTGAAAATTGTTATTTATAGTTGATTTACCTATTAACGATGGTAATTTTCCAGTTCGCAAACTGTAAACGTTTATTAGAGTTAGAGGGTAATTATCAAGATGTGGAGGTTTCCTAAAATGCTGAAACCCCTTTATCGCTGGTTGGGTTATAATAGAAGATCCGATTACTACGGATGATGACTGGGGGTACTGCAAAAAACTGGGAAACCTCCACGGACGTGTGTGAGTTTCTCAGACTCGTGTTGACCATATTCATCTACCGTGTAAAACAACTGCCTGTTCAACGTTTCTTTCCGGTTGAAAGGGTTCCCAAGTACCCTCTGGTAAACATACAAAAATCTTTTGAAAATTGCCATTTATAGTTGATTTACCAATTAACAATGGTGATTGTCCATAGTTATTTTAGTTTACCAGAGGGTACGTTTGGGGCAAAAACAAGCCAGTTCTTTTACAGATTCTAACCCATTATTAACATATTATAACCCATTATTCCAAGTTTACCAGTATAAACAACGCAACGTCCTATTTGTAGTCAACCCACCCTGAACTTTAACCCAGGCCTGCACTCCCCCCTGACCACGATTGCGGTTGATGTGCCGGATAGAAATTATGACTTAAAGTCGTCATTTGTGCAGGATGGGGCCCCAGTTCTTTAGCTAACTTGTTGCAAATAACTATAATAACAATAGTGTATGACACGCAAATCAATATATTTAGATGGGCTTATAAACCAACTCATAACTGGGGGGGGGCCATCCTGAAGTCGTCATTTGTGGTCAAGTTTATTGTTAAACTCGCGATGATCTCGCTATTTTTGTTGATGAACCCCCCATGTGCTATGGTTGACCCCCTAATGATGGAACCCCCATTCCCATACTACTCGGATGTTCGAAGATTATTGGAAAAGAGGTCCCATCATTAGGTAAACGTTTACATAGCTATAGAAAATCACCATGTTTAATAGGTAAACCATCTATAAATGGGCCATTTTCCATAGCTATGTTAGTTTACCAACGGGTAATTTGCAAAGAAAATTTGGGACCATCCACGACGAGCCAAGGACTTCTATCGCGTGTGTTTTAGCATGGATGTGCTGGATACCAACGGCCGTCACGGAATTCCGCGCGGGCAGATCGCATTGATCTTTCAGGCACGGTAGCAGAATCTCTATGCGAGAAAGCAACCTACAACCACCAAATCCTATAGATGATAGATTTCTTGTCAACTGCCACGGTTTTGAACACATCGATCATCATTCACCACAATATATCTATCTATGATCCATCTATCTACCTACCATTATCTACGTATCTTTCAATAGATCATACCTCCACTATTGACAAGTTCAGCAAAAAGTGATGGAAACGGGTACTATAGCCATTGGATCTATACATATCTTTATATATATATATACCAATGGTGATCCCAACTTCATACCTCTATATTCCATGGACCAAACTACAAGTGAAACCACTAGTTCTATTGCTTATATATATAGATAGATAGATAGATAGATAGATAGATAGATATTACATTATATATACAAATACACATATATATATACACATTTCATTGCATATATTATATATATGTAATCATACATGTATATTATGTTTATTTTTCCACTGAACCACCATTTCTACTAGCTTTTATCATTTCAGTTCACTGTTTGACCTCCACCCTAAACGCCCCGCTTCGCTTCGACCAGGACATCCTCCGCAACATGTCGCAGAAGCTCTCCGACCGCGAGGCCTTGAAGAAGCCCTTCCGCCGCAAGGCGCGGCGTTGCGCGTTGTTTGGGCCCCCATAAAAACGGTCAGTGTTAAATGTTTTATAATGGATAATGGGGTTAAGTAATGGTTCATGATCAGGATTTTTATCTCTGGTAATAAGGTTAATGATATAATGGTTCGAAAATAATGAGGTTTATAGTGGTTATAATGTTTTTTACGACGGTTTTTAATGATTGCATTTTGGTGTGGTGTTATAACAGTTTTATAACGTTTTTGATGGTTTTATTTTTTGATGGTTCTATTTTTTGATGGTTCTATTTTTTGATGGTTCTATAAGCACCATTTTGGAGATGAGTTTTTTTTGTGGTTAATAATGGCTGGTAATGTGTTACCAATGTTTAATGGTTAGTAGTCAGTAACAATGTGATCCCTTACGGGTATGAGTATGAGTCAAAGTTAAGGACCTGGGGGACCACAGATTTTAGATGATTTAAGGCTATCTTTAGTATGAACCCTTCAATAATTCAGGTTATTCTCAATTCTGACCCATCCCCATTTGTTTACTGGGGTTACCGGGTCTACCACATTGTATGATTTTACATGCATCAATCAGATAATCATGTTTATATATATATATATCATATGTACAGTATATACATAAATGTGTATTATTTAATGATTCAGCATGTATGTAAAATTCAATGTATATATATATATATGTATGTATATATATATATGTATGTATATATATATATGTATGTATATATATATATGTATGTGGTTGTCCCTATATTGTATTCGGTTGTTGTTGGGATCTTCTTTATCGTAAGGGGATGGTCACTATGGTTACTGACCCTCAATACAGGATGGGGCCCCCAGGTTTATGGTAGATATAACGATAATTAGTTAGTTAATGAGGGTTATTTCATGGTTATAAACCAACTAACTGGAGGGCCCTTAATTTTGTGCTGCGACAATGAGTTTGCACTTATTGGCAATTTTCAGGGTGTGAAATAACCAGAGGGTACATTTTTTGTGCGAATGCCACTAGGTAAAGACTGATTTGCCAGTTGCTGGATCGACAAAGCCGAGTCATGCATGTGTTTCTGCAACGTGCCGAAATGGGGATGGGTCAAAACCGATTGTTACCATATTATTACCATATCTTGGGGAAGAACCATCCATAAATCCCAGCTACTAACCATCCGGGTACCAGGCTTTTGAGGCGACAAGCTGAGAAGCCAATACCAAAGGGGGAACCCATGAACCATCAATATTTATTAACATCCAACAACATCCCGTATCAAGCGACATTATCAAGTACAGTATAACCATATAATTGTTTCATTAACCATAATTAGCAACCCACCATCCATCCCCATTTTTCTGGAACATGTATGATAGCCACCGCACAAGAAATCATTGAATAGGTGTAAAAAAAAGTGCCCGCAATCTTCTTGGTCTTCCGTTAGCTAAGCTAGTTATAACTCCAGGTATCTATGGCTAATGGTGTCAATAAACCGACAAAGATGACTTGAGGGGCTAGATACATGTACATATATATATATACATATGCTAGTGGAGTGTACAAACCAATGTATGAGGTATATAATATCTTTGGCTAATGGGGTTCATAAACCACTTTATGAGATATGTATCTATGGCTAACGGGGTTAAAGAACAACAGACATGATTCGGGGGCACCACTGTGGTAGACTCAATGCCATAAACCATATCTAAAAAAATCCCAAAGGCTAGCTTTATGGCACTGGGTTTACCACATGACTTGGTTTTTGTGTTGGTGATTGTCATATTTCTCATGTCAGTTGATTCAAAGCGCCTCTTTGATTGGCTTAATCCCCCAAAAGAAGCAGATGCTTCCCATGGAACCTGGGGAATATTTCAATGCGCTGATTCCATCGTAGAAAACTGCAGTAAAAAAATGCATTTCCCAATGACTCATAGAGGTTTCCAGGGGTGTTCCATCCCCTTTTTCCCAGTTCGACCCATTGTGGAGGAATTAAGTGTTTTTTTGTGGTGAAAATAAAACTTAGCATTTACAATCATTTATCTTTAGATTATCAATTTTCCATCCGTTTAAGTTGTAATTTCCATCATTTTTAGATCTGGTTGGTGGTTTGGAACATTTGTTATGTTTCCATATATTGGGAATAATCATCCCAACTGCCTAATATGTTTCAGAGGGATTGAAACCACCAACAACCAGGTTATAGGTTATAATTTCCATCATTTTTAGATTATAACTTAGATTTTTTCCTCAGTTTGATCCAATGTTCCGTCGTTTTTTTCCCATGCGAAACCAGGATAAGAGTCCCAAGAAAGGCTCCAAAGGCAGCTCAGGCACGACGCCTCCTGGCAGAAAGATCTCGGGGAGTTGGCCTTCAACTGGATGGTGATTTTTCTTGGCGGAAAATCGCCCCAAAACAGCACAGCAAAAGATGACCATTGTTGTTGGACCAAAGATTGACCATGAAGGAAAATTTCTTGGGGGTCAAAAAGGTCAACCAACTACAAATGGGGATTTTAGCTGCATACATTTGATGACCTCATCGTTTTCCGTCACTGGATGATGGTGAATGTACAGGATTGATGCAATTCCACCAGATTTTGGTAGATTCTAAGTATTCCTTTCTCTTCCTCATATGCGCGGGATGGGAATAATCAATCCATCTTCACACAGGATGGGGCCCCCCCAGTGATGTTTGTTGGTTTATAACCCCATCTAAATATATAGTTAGTAGTTATTTGAACCATAGTAACCATAGTAAGTATAAACCTATAGTTACAAGGTGGTGTTATTTTATAAACCATAGGAATAGTATGTGAATATATCTACCATAAACCATGGTGAAATTGGAGTTCGTGGCACCAACTTAGCGATTCAGAACTGGGGCACCATCCTGTACCCAATATGGGATGACGTAAACCCCCGTAAGTGGGGATATAAGCCCTATATCTATGCGCACATATCCACCTACATAGATATAACTCCTTTTGCCATAATACCCACTTATGAGTGGAAATGCACTTCTTCTCATGTAACATCACCATGTATTTCTATGCTTCATTTTCGCAAACTGTTGGTCATAACCAGAGGTTAAAATGTGATGGAATATCTCCCCAAAGGTTTGTGAGGATTACCCTCTGGTAAACATACAAAAAACCATGGGAAAATTGCCATATTTAGTCCGTGGATTTACCCATCAAAAATGGTGATTGTCCATAGCTATATAGCTATATATGTTGATTTATCCATAAACCATGTGTGTGAATTTTCATAGTTATGTAAACGTTTACCAGAGAACAAGATTATCCCCAAAAGATCGCCAGGAAATCACCATAGGTCAAACCATTCCCAGTCATGGGTGGAAACCATGGCATTGTTTTACCCACATGAAATCCCATTTATATCCCATTAAATCACCATATTCAGTGGATTTTTATAGTTAAATCCTCATTGTTCATGGTCACATTGACACCATATTATTAGCAATTCCCCTTGGTCATTAACCATTTTTAACAATTTACCCTCTGGTCAACTTACCACCATTTATGAAACCACCAGTTGAATCACCACATTTCACAGTTAAATCATCATTGTTCATGGTCACATTAACCATATTATTAGCCATTCACCATTTAGAAATGTATATACCCACATGAAATCCCATTTATATCCCATTAAATCACCATTAGTTAAATCATATTCCCGAGATTAAATAGTTAAGAACATATTCCCGACATAGATTCCATTGATATCCCATTAAATCACCATATTCCATAGTCAAATAAGTAATAGTAGTATAATAAGTACCATTTTAAATATGTGAAATCCCCCTATTTTCATAGTTCAATCACCCTGAAATCCCAAACCCACCATTTTCCGAGGCTCACCCCGTCCTCGCCGGCCGCGATCCCGGTGTGCCTCCGTCACGAGTTACGGGGCACCAAGGAAATCGGTCCCTTGGCGCCATGAAACGAGCGAATCTTCGGAGATGGTTAGTATATGTTAATATATGTTAATATATGTTAATATATGCTAATATATAAATACATGCTAATATATGTTAATATATGCTAATATATGCTAATATATGTTAATATATGTTAATATATGTTAATATATGTTAATTTAACTTAGGACTTACAATCATTTATCTTTAGATGATCAATTTTCCATCATTTTCAGTTACTGGTTGGTGATTTGGAACATGAATTGTATTTTCCCAAATAGTTGGGATGATGATCCAATCTGACTTTCATATTTTTCAGGGGTTCAAACCACCAATTAGTAATGTTAATATAAGGATTAAGGTTAAATATCCATATATGACAATATGTGGATAATGTCATTATATGCCAAATTAATGATAAAATGGCATATAATGACATGATTTAGAGTGGTATGTGGATCGATAAGGGTTAAAATTGTTAATAACCGCTATTAATATAGGTTAGAATCGTCTTAATAAGGGTTAATAAGTCAATAATTGTAATTATATGCTGTAATATAATATGTTATGATACGTTAATAAGGGTTGATAATTGTGTTAATATGGTTTCATCCTCCAGGATTATGTTGTAAGATGAGTAATAATGGTTATATAGTATATCTTAAAATATGTTTTAATCCCCCATGATTTTATGTTGTAATATGATTAAATAAGATGGTTACTGTAATAAGATTGTTAATATATGTTAACACATGCTTTACCCCCCATGATTTGTAAGAATATATTCACCCTTAGCTATGATATATTGTTTTGATCTTCTAAGGGTTAATAGTGAGTTTTAGTATGCTATAAAATATAATGGTCAGATTTGATTTGTTCGAAGGATGTTGTGCTTGTTTCTGCTTAAGTTGATTCTGCAGACTGGTCTTCAGGAATGCACAAGTAACAATGTTTGATGTATTTTTTTAGATCCGAATGGTTCGTGTATCAGCATCGACTATGATCCCAATGTTCGTCTAACTCCGCAATCTTAATGCAGAAGTCAGCCACAGCATGCCACAGCTCAGTCTTCGACCCTGGAGAACCCGGGGAATCCTAAATGGATAACATACCCCCATTACATCCTATACCTACATGAACGTGTACATCACATGAAATCATATTACATTACATTACATCAATGCATTACATATGTATGTATATGATATATCTATATTATATATATATAACATATGTACAATATATATTTATATTTACAGTATGAATTCCCATGGCTTAGGGGGTACCCTTCAACGTTCCCATGTTTCAAACGCCCTGTCGTTCGCGTTGACCGCCCTGTCCGAGGCCTCCTCCTGGAGATGCTCTGGTCCGCCCTGCCGGGTCGTCCGTTTCCCACGGTGCTGGATATGGTGAGCCAAACGGGGGCCTGGGGCGGCCTGGGGCTGGGGCGTGGCTAGGCTCGGCTAGGCAACATGTGGGAGTTATGGTGGAGTTATGGTGGTTTTATGGTGGATAGAATCAGGATATAGACCTATAGTTGGATTGGATGGGGGTTTCAAACGTCTGCAGCATGTCCAAATGACATTCCATCTCGAAAATTTAAGTGGCCCTAACCCCCTCCCAAAAGATAGATATGATTGTGTACAAGGGGAAACCATCAAGATTTGCTTGCCTGAGGGTTCAAGAAAGGTCTATTTCTAGGAGGCACAACAGTTGTCGGGGATCTAGAGTTTACATTCCTTCCTCTTCCCATTGCCGTTGTAAAACCATAAACCTCCATGTTTGATGCTGTTAAGCCACGTTAAACCACCATTTGGGGGCATACTTATAACCATCATTCAGGCGGTTTATTTTTTTCTTTTTAAGCCACTGTTCACATTTTCTTGGGTTGAACATGTTGAACCAAAAATATAACGGCTACAATTGCGAACTGTTTGTAAAAGTATCACTAACCAGTTTGTCAACATGCAGGATGGGCCCTACAGTTAGCTAAGTTGATGGTTTATCGCTATAATAACAACAGTGTATGATACTTATAACTATATTTAGATGGGGTTATAAACCAACTTATAACTGGGGGGGCCCATCCTGTGGAGTTCTGTTCACTTTCTTCCATTGCGCAGGTCATGAACTTCCTGGAACGCGCCGCGCAGCAAGCTGCAGCCCCGCGCGCGGCGTCGCCGCCTGCGCCCAGGGCGCCGTCGCCGCCGAAGGCGGGTGACGAAGATTAGGTCAGCAGCGTTGGCGAAAGAGATGCCACAAAGATTCATGGAATGTTCGTGGAATAGTCATGGTTAATGAGATATTTAATCTTACCATCTATTGAGTAATGGTTAAGAATATGTTACCATGATATTATGGTTCATGATAATAACCATTTTTCAACATATTATCATGACTAGTTAATTCAACATTGAACATATTATGGTCATATTAGTTGTCATTGATAGTTAATTATGGTTACTGGTTGCTGGTCAATCATGAATCTAGAGCCTCAGCAAATCGTAGAAAAGATGTAGAAAAGTATGATGGGATTTTCTGACGGGATAGTTATAATTCATCATGAAATACTATATGAATCTATATGATACTCATTATCTAATATATCTAATGACACTATGATATTTTTCCCATTTTGTCATGTTCATTCTAAGTTTCTTATTCTCCCAGTATCAGATGACATGTTCTTTTCATGGGGTGATTTTTCACATGGGACTACAATGGGTTTTTTCATAAATCTACTGGCCACTGTCATCAAACGCGAATCGAAGATTGATAAAAGGGGAGATTCCCAACGAAGTCATACGAGTCTGTAAATTTGCTATGGAGCGACAGCTGCAAGCAGTTGGAGCAGAATGGAGATGTCACCAACAAAGATTTTTGTATTTACCCTCTGGTAATTTAACATAGCTATTGAAAATGACCATTTATAGTGGATTTTCCCATGAAAAATGGTGATTTTCCATAGCTATGTTAGTTTACCAGAGGGTAAGCAACAAAAGTGAGGATGTTCCCCCCAAAAATGTCAACAAATGAAAGGGGTGATTTATCCAAGAAAGCTGGGGTTGAACTAGCGAATTCGATGGTCCCCCAAAACGAGAAAATATCTCACAAAAGTCGGGATTGTTTGGAAACCAAAGATCAAATTTATCCAACAGGACATTTGAAATATGGAAAGGAAACTAGGAAATTATCTGGAAAGGATGTTTTCTAGCCAACAAACCTAGCCACCAAAAGTATGAATTATCCAGCACACAGACAGTATACATCCAATTCATGCATAGCAATCACGGCCATGTCTTGTTTTTCGGACCATTCAAAAATGGGAGTGGGTTTTTATAACCCATGATTGTCAAATATGGTCAATTTTAGTGGAATGAACATCCATAAATCCCAGCTATTTTGGGGTTCACCACAGGTACTCTCGGATTTTGACCGCCAAATAGATCCAAGAAATATGCCATTCTTGTGACCGAAGTCTGTGAGTTCTGTACGCTGCCGAAGTTGGGGAGGTGCCTTTTCGCTGCTTGTATCTTGTCGCTGATCACCAGGATCGGCTACACGGCTGGGGGCAACCAGAGCTTTGAGATTTCCATGGATTTCCTGGATCAAGGTTGGGGAATTTCCAACGTCCAGGATCAAAATCACTTAAAAAAAAAAACGCACACCACTATAGAAAACAGGTATGATGAGTGTAGGCAATGTCTAACATATAATTAATATAATGCCGGCAAAACATGGCATGATCAACTATCACATACTATCACCCAATTTCAGCATAGGTGGGATTCCAACCATTCCCAGGCATGGGTGGAAACCATGGCATGGTTTTTTCTCACATGGATTCATGACATGAAGCCACAGTGTCACATTAGCCCTGGAGACTGCCGGCCCAAAAAATCTACAGAAACTGTACAGGGCTGGATGTCCAGCACATCCGCGACTGTCCCAGGCTGGATTTCCTGACCTCCTGGGATTGATGAAGTTGAGAAAATCATCTGTTTAAACAACAGAGAAACCCGTTCGGATCAAAGGCACTATTTTCCTGGGCGCCTTTGGATGAGTTCTTTGCAGCATCAAAATGGGAGATACCTTCTGGTAAACGTTTACATAACGAACTGGAAAATCACCATTTTTAATGGGTAAATCAACGAACTTTCTATGGCCATGTTCAATGGCTATGTCACAAATTTTCAGAGGGCAAAGCTTGGATTACTACCTTGCTCTTTTTTGGTCTTGAATGGGGATATATTGATCATTTATTGATCATGATTGATCTATGTAATATACGTGTATATGATTATCAAAGTTTGGCCATGTTACTTGTCATGATGCAGAGTTTGGATTGATTTGGGTCTCATTGTCTATCCAAGAGTCCAAGATGGACATAGGTCACACATGGTCATGGTCACACAGTCCATTTCAAAGCCCCCGGCTGCCCGGCTGGGTACAAATTGGAACTACGGGATCTACAAGGTGCCCCAGTGAGCGATTCATCGCTAAGTTGGTGCCACTTCACTATGGTTTATGGTAGATATATTGACATACTATTCCTATGTTTTTTTCTAACACCACCTTGTAACTATAGGATACTATAGGTTTATACTTACTATGGTTCAAATAACTATACTAACTATACATTTAGATGGGGTTATAAACTAACAAACATCACTGGGGGTGCACCGTTCGTGGGGGATCTCCTCTCCAAGGTGAATGGAAAATTCACAATGGGATGGTGGCCATTTCCTCCTGTGACCTACCAAGGCTATCCATCAAGCTCCGGCTTTGGAGATGTTTTTATAGGGGATTAGTGGAGCTGTTTAATTTGGGTAAATTTGATCACGACCGAAGCCTGTTCTCCCGAAGCCTGAAATCATGGTTTTCCTAAGGGAAATTATCCCAATATGGTCTTATTGAAGAGGTTAGTGAAATATCATGAGTTACCCAGATAAATTTAAATGGTGGTTTCTCAAAATGGAGCTACCCCAATAATAGCTGGATGGTTTATTTCACGGAAAAGCCCAATCTAAAACTGGTTTGTGGTTTGGAATATGTTTTATGTTTCCATTCAGTTGGGAATGCCATCATCCCAACTGACTCATATTTTTTGGAGGAGTAGGCTCAACCACCAACCAGAAAATGGATGATAATTAGGGGTAGCCCTATTTCAGGAAACCTTCAAATATCCATCATGCAGAAGTTCTAAATCCATTGGAGTTGGATAAGATTTGTTTTTCCGCCTGAAGTTCCGCAGAAAAATGGCAGGAAAAAGTGAGGATTATCAAATTATCAAATTATGAAACTTCAAAAGAAACTAGTTTTTAAAAAAGCTATGAAACTATCAATATAGCCTTTTTTCAAAAAACAAAAAACGAATTATCAAACTGCAAACTCCTGGTTGCTACAAGCTACAGATCTTACACTTGAATCAACCCTGCATGACTTGGAAAACAAACTCGGGCTTCGACTGTTTTGAAGAGACTTCGTGTCCACTACATAATAAATGGCGCCATTCTGCCCAGGCAGTTTATATGTTTTGCGCGTTCAAGTGAAAGTGCAGTTCGTGTTTAGAAGCCAGCCTTCATGATTGATTCTTCAACAATTCCCAGGGATCCCAGGACTCCTAAAATATGCCTGGGAACAAGATCCGTTTCGCGCAACCTGCCCTTGGCGGCGGGCGCCGCTGAAGAGCAAGTTATATCAAAAGCTGCAACTGCAATCCCGCGAAAAATCAGCGGCCCGGGCCCTGAAAGTACTCAAGTTATGAGCAATTATGATCTATAATGATCTATATATACATGATCTATGTTATATATGAATATATATATATATTGGTGGGTCTTGATCAAACGATATCAAACGTTAATGATGAAAGTTCAGATGTATAGCAAACACCTGGGAGGATGATGGGAGCCAAGTAACCCGTCCCCAATGCTCCATGTAACTTGGTGGCTCATCGCACTTGGTAAATAGGTTATAACACCAGTTACAACTGGGATAAGTAGGGTTAATCTACTTCTAACTGGGGTTCTAACATGTTATAACATGTTATAACATGTGTTACTAAGTGGGATGAGTCACCAAGTACCCCCAAAAAATATGACCCAAATGCGTGTAAATCTTCCAGCACCGAGCTTGGATGGTGAAAACGAGAAATATCGCTAGGGATAAGAGTTGAACAAAATCGGTGGATGTCAATCAATACCCTCTGGTTCTGTCAAAATAGCTATATATTGAAAATGGTGAACATGACCCATTTATAGGGATTTACCTAGCTTGAAAATGGTGATTTTCCAGTTTGTTATTTGACAGTTAGTTTACCAGAGGGTAGTTTGAATGTTTAGGGAAAGCAACACTGTATGGCGGTTCTATCGACAACCAAGATTTTTCAGCACTATCAAATGATTCAAATGGAGATGCAACCGATATACAGTTTGAGATGATATCGGCCTGTTGATTATGCAATATTGTGCCATGGTCAAACCACCAATTAGCAGGGCCAGTTTCAGCCAATTCAATGATCGTTTCCCAACCCTTAGGCCAACTCGTTGAAATCCCCATCAACATATCCTCAGCGCATAGAAGCTCAACCATGTGTCGTCATGGTCAAAACATGGTTCACATTCCCATAAAAGCGGATGGTCATTGATCCAGTACTAGAGATTCATATACCCAGTTGGTTAGTGGTTTGGAACATGAATTTTATGACTTTCCATTCAGTTGGGAATGTCGTCATCCCAACTGACTCATATTTTTCAGAGGGGTAGGCTCAACCACCAACCAGACAATATATGTGTATATATATATATGTGTGTGTGTCAATACCAAGTCAATCTAAGTCATAGTCATCCTTTGACGACTGGATGATTTCGGGTACCTTCATGACTTTGGAAACCTCCAAGGGATGAAATCAAAATTGCTTGGTGAATACTTACCTGGATATTATGATTTAGCTGGATTTCAATGAGTTGCTTAAAAAATACCCCAGCTATATATATATATATATATTCATATCCTAGTTGGATGATATGAATATTCATCTATTCCAGCCATACCCAGCTATATTTATAATTATATATATTATATATATATATATTATATATTATATATATATATATTATATACATGTGTATACGTATGTATATATGGCTATATATTGCTTATTGGCCACGTATACCACCCGGGATGCACCACCAAGCTGCCATCGGAACCCGAAAAAGGCTGTTCTCCTTCCAGCGCATCACCGTCTTTTACCCACCGACCTTGAAGGCTTTCGAGGC